TGAACAACAGGAAGTTATTTTCGTCAGTCCACTGCAATCCTAAACTGAAATAGAAGAACATGGAAATTGAATAGGTTACTGATATATCAATACCTCAGTGTTGGAAACATTTAACACATTGAAAATTCATTTTCCCAAAGGAAACCAATTTAAACAGTTCATGTACACGCGATTAACAACCATATGCATTCTTGTAAGGCATTCAGGGATACAGTATTTATCAAGTACATGTGCTCAATAGACGTGATACAAGCACTTAAAAGGACATCAGCACATCTAAGGTGCATTCTAATTTGACAAGCATCCCCTACACCGTGCACAGTAGGACGGACAGGGGTTTCATTGACAGTGAGACTGGCTGTACCACAAGGCTTTCGAGAGGTTTGCATGTTCTTGTAGTAATATGGCACCAGCAGTCTTAAAGACTGTGGGTGAATTTGGATCAGATGTGCTCAGCAAGGTTTACTGTAGCCTTGAAAATGCTTAGCGGACTGAAAGGAAATGCAGAGTAAGTGGAATTGGAGTGGATTGGTTTTTTGTAGGCCGATTTCTAGATCACACAAAACTGGGAACAGGGATACGTGCCACGTGCTCTCTCCACTGCCAATGACATTTCAATAACAGATGAACAGCAGCCAAAGCGAAGTGAAAAATTGTGCACACTTGTATCCTGCCACTTTTATTGACCAACATATTATCTTTAGTAGTTCTTTTCTTATTTGATTAAATATCCCCTGGGAGCCCATTTCACCTCTACTAGCATCACTCATGCTAGTAGAAAAGACAAAGTTTTACCCTCCCACTGCAGCCTTCTCCCTGCCTCATGGCCTTTTGTGATGAAGCTCTTATTATTCACTTTACAGTATGATAACAAAAATGCAGCCTTCTAGCAATGAAAGAAAAAAAAAACAATGTTGTTTATTGTTGCGTTATGGACATTTTGTCAGTAAAAAAACAAACAGAAGAAAGGTTAGAAAACAAGGAAGCCATTTGACCCATCTAGCTCATTTGCTTGCTAGTAGCTAATTGAGATCATCAGATCTCCTGCTGTAGATGCTCCCTGAAAGCCAGGTTATTGACTTTGATAACATGGCTGGCTACTACTGCATGTGTAGAAAAAAAAGTGCCTTCTGTTCTCATTTTCAAATGCATTCCTCTGTATGTTCACTTGTGTCATCTGGTTTGTGTTTCACTATTAACGTTCAGGTCTACTGGGTTGACGCTGTCAACGTCTTTCTAAGTTTCATGACGGAGCGGGGGTAATTATTAATGCACTTTGTCCCGCAGAGATCGGTGGTGTTCAAAGGCAAGACTATCAAATGTTACAATGAAGTCTCCTTAGTGTTCATCTGTCTCCTGTATCGCTAAATCATAATATCTTGTTTAAAAACAATCTTGCCCAGGAAGCAGAGTGGCACTCCAGACAGGTAATTACCTGACTACGTCAGACCTGCTGGGAATCTGACAGAACAATTATTGGCACAAATACCTCTGGAAATTAAGGTAGAAGCAGGAATCGTAAATTATAAATCTTAATTACACTTTATAACAGCATGGCTGTTTTTCATTTGAACTTTGTGTCAACTAATATCTACATCACAGAAATAAGATTTTATGCAGTTCTTTTGCTACAGCCGAGTGTAAACACTTGCACCACAGCAATGATTTAACTGTGCATATTTAGTTTTTACTTAACCTTGAAAAGTTGAAGAATTAAAGCTACTTTTGCAAGTGTGGCATACCAACAAATCATGGACATACAACTATACAGTATATAAACCCCTCTCAGGTTTAAAAACAAGTGAGGGCATCAGGCCCTTTGTCCAAACTACCAGATGTTATTATCTGTTCCTTTTTTTTTGTATTTGTTTTTTTTTTTAATGTCAAATCTGAACATTTAATGAGGAAGAGTTTTTATACATCTGAGTATAAATACTGCATGGAAATACAGCAAAAATACACAGAAATGTACGAATACACAAGTCGTTAAATTACATACAGTATTTTCATGGATTACACAGTTTAAGTAGTCAACCATTAAACAGCCAGAAAGCCTGAACTTTAATAATGCTCTTTTTGTGTTCAACCATCAATGGATAACATTTAGTAAGCATCTCTTCTGCCACACAGTCTTTAGGTTCTAGCATCAGTAACCACGATATGATTAACCCTTCCAGACACCACACATCACATCCAGACACTACAACGAGACAATACTATAAGACCATAACCGAACAGTTAACCCTGTTCTCCTCCTAATGAAAAATGTTGGAGAGTGGCAGAAATAGCTCAGAAACGTACTAATTTAAGTGCCAATAAAATTAAAATGCTTTTATTTTGGTTTGTCTTTTAAGATTTCATTTTCCATGATAAAAAAGGGTGTTAAAATTAATGTGCTGTAATGCCCACAAGATTTAAAAATGCTATCTTCTCAGTTGATATGCCGTTATAGACTGTACACCTCTGTGTACCGCTGAGATTGAGTGTCAATACATTTTGTTTTTTTAATTCGATTCTATTACAGTCATTTTATTGTTATTTTTAGGGTAACAAAACTGTCAGTAAAACAGTTTTATTGTACCTATATCTTATGATACATACGGCAGTGTGATTCATGGTTTTAAAGTCCACTCAACTTCATACAAAGAATGGTGCAACGTTCCCAGGGTTTTCAAACAGAGTCAGATTTACTAGGCTACTGGACAATGTGCATTTTTAAATAAAGATCTGAAACTCAAATCTTGAAATTCAATCTCAGTATTATATAGGCTATTTAAAATAGTGCCATAATAAGTGATGCTGCACACAATTAAAAAAAAACAGTGCCTCTAGTAACACTGCAACAACACTTCAGTGACAAATTAAACTCTTTCTTTAAAGTTAAATACATTTAGCTAATCACAAATGCACAAAATCCCCACAAACACATTTTCATTTCAATGACTGAAAAAGGATCTCTATGAAGTCAAGCAACTTAGTAAATAAGACCCAAATTCCAATCTGAACCTTGAGGCGAAACATTCCAGCACAAATTTAAATCAAATACACAGAACGTGCATCGGACTGTCAAAAGGTTTTGAAGAATTCATCTAACCCGGCTGTGAAATTCAGGACCTTTATCTGAAACAGAGCAGTTCTTTTAACCCAACCCGTGTCAAATCACGCCACTGTAATGAACTCCACATTACTCTGTGCCAGTCTGGGACAGTCAACACAGTCTGAAATTGGATTTGAAAGGTTTGGGTAATTACATGGAAAGACCCGTTACAGTCACTTAAAGTCAAGACTTTTTTGGCGTTTGACGTGCTCTCCCTGCTGCGGATGTGCATGTATCCACTGCAAACCCAATGAACATTTGCCATGTATATATTTAGAGATATTTATTCGATCACACACAGTTGTGAGTGGGGCTACGGAGCAGAAGTGGAAAGACGGGGCACGAGTGCTTGAGTGGGAAAGCTGAAATCACGAGGGGGAGGCCGTCGTGACGGGGGGCACAGGGGGAGTCCTAGGTCTGGGATCCTGGTAATCCATGGCCGGCTCGGTGACGGCCCTTGGCGGCCCCTTCACCCGTCGAGGGGGTGTGGGAGGGGGAAAGGAGGGCGACTGGAGGATATCGGCGTACCTCTGGCTGGGCTTTGTCTCTCTCTGCAGCACTTTGCTGAGCAGCGGCTTCAGCAGCCCCACGGTCAGGTGGCTGCCGTCGGTTTGGAAGGGCCCGCGCTCCGGCGTGGAGGGAGGAAGGTTCTTCAGGACAATGTTCAGGATGCTGGTCACGGTGAGGTCCTCGGGACACAGGGTCCAGAGCAGGTCCAAGTAGGGGTCCAGGTCCCTGTGCTGGGACAACTCCCCCAGGAGAGTGGTGAAGATCTCCTTATTGAGCAGGGGGCTCTGCTGGCAGAACCTCTCCGCCACCTGAGCGACCTGCCCCCACTTTCCCAACTGCATGAGGAGGCGCAGGGCCTGCATGACGGCGTTGGGCCGCTGGCTGCACAGCAGCAGCTCCACCTCGACCTCCTGGTACTCTGCTTTCTCCGGCAGTATGGCCAGGGCCCGCTTGTACAGAGGCGGACTGTCAGGGCTGTCCTTTGCCCCATAGTTCCAGGAGGAGATGCCAGCCTGCTGCTGCTGGGCTAATTCCACAAACCGGGGCAGCCACCTGGGTTGGAACCTGAAAAGAGATTGGCAGATGAGCTCAAAGACAGGTACCGCCCCATTCGCAGGTGGGCACTGCTGCCCATTGGGTGGGGTGGCATGCCCTGCTGGAACAGGGCTCAGGACTGTCTTCCACACCTCGGGGGCTGCCTTGGCTGAGAGAGAGCCCTCCTCATAGGACCTGAGCTGCAGGACCATCTGCAGGGCTTGCCAGGACTCCAGGGGGAAGGTGCTGAAGATCACATTCAGGTAGAGCAGGTTCTCCCGGTCCAGTTCTGTGCATAAGAGCCGACTGACCTCTTCACTTACTAGGTTCTCGCAGTGAAGAGCCAGCTCAGTTTCTGAGGCTTTGACCAGTGATGACTTCAACTCTTCCAAGGCCACTAAGCTCTTTAGCTCAGCATCCAGCGAGCTCAGCAGTTTTGTATAAGTGCCACTGGTGCCTCCCAGGATTCGCTCACCGGTCTTTTGGGTCTTTAGGTATCCTTTCAGGATAGAGGAGAGGGCGATGGGAGCCTGGAACATGCCCCCACTTTTCAGCTTCTCCACTGTCAGCTGCGTGCTGCTCAGGCTTCGGCGCTGGTAGTATTTGCAGGCTTCCTCAAAGACCGCTTCCACCAAGAGAGACTCAGGGCTGATACTTTCCGAGTGACCCGGCGTCTTAGGACTCAAATCTCTCTCTCTTTGTTTGGCCACAAACAACCCAGACTCTGTTAACAGGTGAGGCACGTTCCTCTCCCTGCAATTCACAAAGAGAACTCCCTCTTTCTTTAAAGGGATTTTTTCCAGTTCTGTGCCACATCTAATGTCAATTAAATAAAGAGTCCTGTCCACAGTAAGGGCTAGAACGCCACCATAGACATGCATGCTGCTACACAGAGAGCAGTCGTACAAGCAATTGTCTGCAAGTTTATAGATCCGTCTGAGAACACCATCTTTCTGTAACATGCTGATCCACCCTGAGCCCAGAAGCACTAGCAGCCCACCACATCCAGTAGCTGAAAAGGCAATGATTTCTGGAGGGTTGATAGTAGACAGCAGACCAACACAGTCTGAAATCAGCCTCTTAAAATCAGATTCTTTGCTGAGATGCAAGTCTTTCCTCAGGAGGGTCCCCTTACACGCACTACTTACCGTAATGCTGTCCGGGTCTGGGGACCAAGTCAAAAAGAATTTGGAGATGCTGCTGAGTTTTGTCTCGTTATTATCCGGCAGAAGGTAAACGTTGTCGGCCGAAGCGATCACTGCGTACCGCGGACTATTGTGTAACATTATATTTACGCCCCCCAAACAGACCCCTCGCTCCTCCAGTTCGTATGTCCGTGTGCAAATGCAGTATTGGAAGTTATTACGGGCTGCAGTGGAAGATAAAGAGCTTTCTGAAGGGGGTCTCTCCTCAGACCAGATTATGACATTTCCACTGGCACAGACAGAAACTACTTTAGCCCTCGGGCTGTTACACAATTCTGATGTTTGCTGCAAATACCAACCCGCTTTGCACTCCTCGTATCTCCAGAACTCTACTCCTCCATTCTCCTGAACCACTGCGAGGTCCGACGATCCCCCGTCTTTATCGCGTTGTCCTAAATAGACGAGGTCCACGATCTTCCCGGACGTGCCCGAACCCAAGTCGAGGTGCTTGTGGTTTTGCAGCTGGTGAGTTCTTTGCAATCTGTCAAAAGTCATGAGACCACCTTTTGGCTTGTGGAGAATAACATGGATGTGTTGCCCGTCTGGGCTAATCCGGATATCGCGCAAAGCACTCCAATTACAGCTCTTCATATTACTCTGTTTTAAATACTCCGTCAAGTCTCCGCCGCCAGTAAACTCGCCTAGGTCTGCTAACTGATCCAAAGCCAGGTGTTTCATGTTTATAGCTAGGGTTGGAAAATCCAGAGTGGAGAAACTGAGATCGTCCGTAAAAGCTGGGAGGATTTCACTGCCCTTTCAAACAAGAATGCTGGACACTGAAGAAGCCCAACTGTATTCCATGGTGTTGTCGTCAAGTTGCCACTAAATCAAAGAAATGTCATTTTTCCTTCGCTTTCACGTTACATTTTCCTATTCATCCCTCTCTGACCATCTATCGCTTGTGCCCTAACATCACGAGTTTGTCAATTTCCGGAACCCATTCCAGCCAGGAGAAGGAGGAGCCGGAGTTGTGTTTTTTTTTTAGTTTTTGCGCATTTCCGTCCTTAAGAAATGACGTAGCGTAACGCGTATCCCTGTTGCTACTTTAACCCATTGTGTTCATCGGGCGTGTTCTGCTGGCTTGCAGTAAGTCAGCGCAAATACTGGTTTGTAATTGTATAGTGATTATAAACCGGAACGTATTTGAGCCTTTTTTTAACGTGCAGCACTCTCCATTCTTTACATTCGTATTACAATATTATTGAACTGTGTATAAAATTATACCGTGTTAAAACACAACTATAGCTTCCCCTTAAGTGTTGCCTGACAACAAACTGTAACACCTATACCTTAGGTCTTCTTTTATTGTCGGAAACATATTATACAAAGACTTCCGTGGGTCCGGGAACACAGTTTTTGCGCTTTAACATGCCTAATAAACCCGTCGCCGATGTTTAATGATATATTTAAAACTGACGTATCGTAAAGTAGTAAACGACTTTGTATTAGCTTCTCCATCTTACAATATCCCAGATTCCGTGGGTCAACATATTGTACACAATCATGTACAGCTCTCCACAAATTATTGCACAGTTAACAACAACGCAGTCGTGTTAACCGTACTTGTTTGTAGTTTTTATGTTAAAATGTATTCCGTTTACTATTATTTTTTTATGTTCGAATTTGAAAGAATGTAAACGTTAACTACAAATTTCGGAAGACCAGCGCTAAGACCCCGCTCGTTTCTGGGAGCCTGTAGAAAGTGGGAGGGGTGATCTGACACACGGATCTGGGGGAGACGGGCGCTCAGGTTTTTTAATTGAGTGGGGATGGATTTATGAGAAATATCCGTTTTCCACAGGTAGGGAGGAAGCGTATTGAGCCTGTAATAAATGACGACACATTTCTTCCCAGCTTTGACACGGATTATGACATTGACAGCACTTTTAATGATGGACGATCGACGTTAATGATTACAATTACAATGGTTTTGCGTTTTGACGCGTAAAACAATACCCTTTAATTCTTGGGTGAATCAAAACAAGTGATGGAATGAGTTAGAGTTGCGATGGATTTGGCAGTGATTTAGTTGCACCCGAAATGTCGCTTTTAAATGAAAGTAAGGGATACACTGTGCATTTACGAAATAAATGTAGCTAGCTAAATTAAACGCTAATTTCAGTTTTATATGACATATCTAATTTTCAGTTAGTGAAGAAGAACGGAATCAGTTGTTTGTAGAAGTTCAATATACTACCAGGCGTTTGATTGTAGATGGTGTAAATAAGGCAACGAAGAATTCGTCCCCCACTCTTTCAAGAAAACAAACGAGGTGAGGCCCGTAAGTTAGAGAGGAAACGCCGGGGACTGAGAGGATGCATACAGGCCGTGTCCTGGTCCGCAACAGGATATTTAAGTATGCGTTGTGAAATGGCTACGGATTTGCTTGGTTATCCTACTGCACGGTTTCCGTAAATGTATTATTTACTTTTAGAAAACGATTTTTTTTTCAGTGAATGGGCGTTTTGGTGCGTACATTTTAACGACAAACAATAACGAATGAGACGGGGTTTCTTCAGTTGTAATGCAATGGTTTTTAGGGTAGGCTAGTAAAATAAAATTATGAATCAAAGACTGAATGTGCTTAATTGTAAACCACATTTTTTTCCCTCAAAAGATACTTTATTTCCATAACAACATCTCGCAAAAGAAACATTGTAAACCACATACGTCAAAAACAGGTGACGGAGTCCCGACTCCCATCACAGGCTACGGCTTGAAGGATGCCGAGTATTTAGCTGTTCATTTAAGTGCATGGCGTGTTTTCTAAATGGAAATGGTCTCAATCTTTTAGGTTAAACGTGGCATTTGAATTTACTTTCAAATGCCTTACTTGTTTCACGCTCAGCCTAACACCTCCAAAAAAAAGTACCTTCAGTCTGTAACCACACACTTGACTTAAGGGGAAGAATTGGCTGTTGGTTCAAGAGCATAAGGGGTTCAGATATTTTGTGTGTTACAGTTCTCTAATGAAGGTATTATTGTTTTTTCCCCCTTGTGACAGAGAAACGTTGCTTCTATGTTAAGTGGCTTAGTTCAGTTTGTCATATGCACAAGTACGAGATGTTCATTAGGATACCATCCTAGGATCATTTAACTGCTAACTACACAACAGACTAAGATGAGGCCTAATGTTGTTCTAAACTGCTCCTCACCTTCCAACCCTCATCCAACCACATTCAGGCTAACCTGCTGTTAGGACTTTAATGCTTTCACATGGATAACATGGAGACCCCGAGACTCCTTTGAATTTAATTACCTATATTGCCCCTAAGGGAATTTGTCTTGCACATCAAGAACTTATAAATGTATTACATATATGACAATAATGCAATACAACAACAGTACAATACCATGATACACAATAACATTTAACAACATCGTTCAGTCTGAACCCTTTCAGAATCTTACATGGACTTAGGTGTATTGTGAAACAAACGGGGAACTGTAATTTGTAACTGCTTTGATTTGTTTCTGATAATAGTTTCAACAGACTTGAGGAGAAGTGCGTAAGTACTCAGAGACTGACCGGGTTTGATTTCAGTATGTGATTCATTCCACTGATTTCAGAAAAGGCACTCTTTTATAGGAAAAAAATGCCCTTTTTGATAACTGGGGCGTGAGTTTGTTGTATTACTGAGAATATTTCATCTGACCATAAAAAATTGTTTTACACAACAAAAAACTAAAGCAACAACATTTGGTGGATAACTTCCCATTTCAAGCAATCAAGGGGAATTTCTTGAGTTTTTATTTCTGAGAACCAAGGTCGTATTGTGCTCACACAAATTACCCATTTGGGATTGGCCTCCGAACTTGTGACACTGATCAGTTAACCTCTGATATCTGTTTCTGTTTATTGCTGAAAAGGCTTCTTTTTCTATCTATTATCTTGTTATGCAGCCTAATTGGTATCAGCAAGTTTTAATTAGAAGGGGACAATTCATATCACACAAGGCATTCCCTAGAAAACTAGAAACTACAGTCTGAAAGTATCCGAAGTTTAAAGAAATATGTCACATAAATTTACTATACATGCTTGCAATTTGGAAATATGCAAATATTTGCAATACATAGTAATATTGCCATTTTAATATGTCCTATTAAAATGCGAACCTCTCAAAATACAGTGTATTTTGCATTAGTCCGTGCATTATTTTGTGTTTGGTGTTTTGCTACAGTTTAATGTTCTCTTAATTGAGGTTGATCGTTTTTGTACAGGAAAGACTCCAGGTCATTTATCGTTATGGATGCATATTTTATTTTGAATGAATGGGGATTTTATAAGGTCAGGGCTTCCTGTTGAAAACCAGCCTAGGAAGCCCTTATGAAGTAACAGAAACTGAATTTTTAGTAGCACAGTAAGACTGAAAGTAAATTAAGATGATGTGTGATTGAACAAGTGTCCTATAAGCTTGTTTGACTATGAATGTTCTACCTGCTAGAGAACTTGCTTAGTTCATCTTTAATTGACAGGCTAGGAGAAAAGGGTGATAACTTACAATATGTTCTACTAGAGTGCAGGGTTTATGTGGTCTTTGGGCCTGTGTGAATTGTGGGAGTCCCTGCACAGTAGATCTCGGCTCGAGTAGGAGCAAATTCGGGGAAGCTGAGCAGATCTGCAGCCGTGGGTGTTCAGAAAGGTAAAGCCTGTTTTGTTCTCCTCTACTGAAACAATCAAAGCAAGAGTGTGTCCGGTTAAACATTAATGTGGACAGTCCAAGGCTTAGATTGGAACTCTCATCTCCTGTTCTGGACAGTCATGTACAGCATCCATTTGTCAAGCTCTTGTTAAATGTGCAAAAATGTATAGTTCAGTTTGATGTGTGTAGAATACCGCACTTTAACAAAATGTGTGTGTGTGTGAAACACACCAGTGTACGAGCCACCTGAACCTGTTTGTGAGAATGAGGCACAACATGAACTTCATGTTTCAAGTTTTAATGCACTTAAAGTACAGTGGAAAGAGATTGAAGGGTGGACACCAAAAAAGATTACCTTTTTTTTACTAACAAATCATAACTGGTTTGCCCCTCAGGGCAAATTGCTGCAGTTTAAGCTGAATCATGTACAGTTGCAATTTGAACAATACTCACCAGGACAAAGTGACAAATCCTTCTATTAGCCCGGCCAAGAGCCAGGAGACGCTTAGACAGAGGAAGAGACAAAGGTCTCTGCTTATTCAAGAGCCTATCGAGAGGAATGAGAATTCAGAGCTGTAGATGTCTTGTAGAGTATGCAAGCCTGTTTAGACTTAGATTGTTTTTAACAGCTTAGTTATAAATATAATCAGAAAATGAATATAATAGACTTTTTCAGCAATAGGTTTGTAATATTTCAGGTACATTCACTGGCAGATTCTCTTAAGTGTTGTTTCTTTCCCTGGTATGCTTATTCAATTATTATGTATGTGTATGCAAGAGAATAACTGTGTTCTGTTGTAACATTAAGAATATGGCAAAAATTATTTTAGTTTCAGCCATTAGGTTGTAAGTCTTTTATATTTGGTGATGCAACGGAGTGATGGGTCTCCACCTGAATTTATACATGATTAAATAGTTTTTTCTAAATGTCTTGATTTAATTAACCTTTTTCAAAGGTTTTCAGCCATTGATTATTTAAAAAAGAGTTATAAATCCTGCTGGATTGTAGCCATCAAGGATTGAAGTTCATGAGCCCAGCTTTGCATGAATTAGAGGTTAAGGACAGAGGCTCCCTTGTGCCTTACTGGCAGGTTGGGCCTTCTAGTCCCTCTCACCAGATGTTCAAAGGTCTGCTGTGGAATTACCCAGCAGTGACGTCTTCAAGCAGTGCAAGGCTGGCCATACGCTGCCAGGTTTGTGTGGGACCTTAAGATCAGCCACCAGTGGCATTCCAGACACCTGTGAGTTTTTAATGTGGGCCGTGTCCTCCAGAATTGCGCTGTTCCGCTATTTGTCTGCTTGTGCTGTGGACTGCTCGATTTTCACTGCACATGTCAGAGGATGAATGTGGAAATTGTTTCATAGTGGAAAATGAGGCATGTTATGGTGACTTCTTTCTCCAACTTTTCCAAGGGTGTTTGAACACTCTGTGCCAGGGATCTTGTCTTTTGGTGTAATTTTGCTTTTGTTATTGTCTTGGCTGTACAAGTCAGTGCTGGTTTTTGGTCGTTTCATGCTGCTGCCTGCTGTGTAGAACTGGGTGATCTGTAGTGGGGGCTGTGCTCTTGCAGAGCACTGCTGTGGTGAGCGGGGGCGCTACCGTGCTCAGTAGTGTCTCCTGTCCTCAGATCCAGCCATGGCCCAGGTGGAGAAGAAGGCAGGCTTGCTGCGGAAGTCCTCCGCCTCCAGGAAGCCCCTGAAGGAGAAGGTGGTGCTCATGTACGATGAGATTTTTGCGGTAAGTTTGGCCCTATGGAGGTCTGTCATAGACCCTCAAGCTGCAGTTTCAGTTCTGTAGTGTATTAACGGCACGGTGAATTGATTGTACTTGTTAAAATTGTCACATGCGAATGCTCACTGTAATTTTTTTGGTAATATTACTGTCAAAATACATTGCCCAGGCAGAATAAAAACATCTATGATACATACACGACAAAGCATTTGTTCCGACTGTTGCTGTGTCTGGGTGTATTATGAAATGCAGTTGCTTTCTCTTTCAGACCTTGCAGTAACAGCCCAGGTAGGTGCCCTGTAGTACATCAGTATGTGGCACAGGTCCTCATTTTATTCTGACAGAATAACACACTGTGTGAGTGGGCATTATTTTAGGTGTGGTAAAATGTTAAATTCATCTAGCGTTTGCTGTGAGGGTTCCTAACTAAAGGCCTGCAGCGGATTACAAGTGGCAGTCCAGTGGCTGTACTGATTGCTCCTCCATCACAAGGAGCCCGAGAGAAGGGCGTGATTCTGGGCTGCTCTTCGGTACCAGCTGGACAAACTGTGGCACTAAATGCTTCTCCCCACTCAGTCGCCCTCTAACCCTGTCGACTCCCCCTGCAGAGGGAAGACCCAGCCAAGAACAACCCGCGCTTCTGGGAGGAGCTGTTCCTGATGAAGGTGAGGCAGGGCAGGGCGGGATCTGGGGCACCTCCTGCAGGTCTGAAGTGTGACTGCAGGCTGTGCCTGTGGGCTCACTGTGAATCTGCAGGGCCAAATCGGTGACATGCCTCTGTATCGTCAGCAGAGACAGAGATACACTTTCTTCTACATTGCAAAAGTAGTCAGGGGGTAAGAAATGTTTAAAATAAGTCTAATCCCTGAATTCACACACCTGGCAGAATCTGAACGGCTATCAGTCTTAATGGGATAGGGGGGCGGAGACTCAATAAAGCTGGCTGCCCGGTACAAGATCTCCTGTTGTAGCCTGAGGACCAGCGAGTGAGCCTCTCAAACAATATTTTATTATTCTAAACGTATTCTAAAGGTTGGGCTAATTTATATTGCTTTGGCAACCCTGTAATTTATTGTTCAAGCCAATAAAATTAATTGAATTTGAATTCGTCATTGTCATGGAGGGAGAGAGAGAGAGGCTAGTCTAAACCATCCAATTCCAGGACGTGTTGGGGTGTTTTGGTATTTGTGCCGTTTATGTCCTCAGTAATTGAATCAGCCAATATTTAATGCTGATGTTTTATAATTTCAGAGTCATTATACTGAATGTATATGTAAGGTGTCAACTTTAATGGTGCCTGTCTGAGATGATATTGAGCTTAACTGTGTTAATTGTACTGAAAAGTAGATATTTTATGGTCCTCCAACCCTTAAGTAGAACACAATACAAATAGTAATGTAATTAACTATTTGTCTGCTTTAAAGGGTTATAGAGGAGTATTTAATTAAGGTTTAGATATCACTTATCATTCCATTTTGTTGTGAGCAGTTATATCTTGTGATGTTTATTTTATTCAATTCAGGAGCTTAGTTTTTCATAATTTAAAACAACTACAGTCTCAGAAGCTTGGAGAGGAAGCCTCGTATTAAGGTCTACTGTCTTTATGTGGCTGGATCCTGTGCTAGACAACATTTTAACAAACACAGTCTCTCTCTCCATGCATGGTACTTGAGAAGCGTGTGACCTCCACTTATCCATTGTCTCACCACTTTATCCAGTACGAGGTCAGGGGGGAGCTGGGGCTTATTCTGGCAAGCAGCAGGCACAAGGTACGATACATCCTGACAGGGTGCCAGTCCATCACAGGGCAGACAGAGACACAGACACACTCACACCAGGGTCAGTTTTACCAGAAGCCAATTAACCTACCAGTATGTCTTTTGACTGTGGGAGGAAACTGGTGCACTTAGAGAAAAAGTGTGCCAACAAGGAGAGAACATCCAAACACCACAAAGATAGCACCACGGGTCCAGTATTAAGCCCAGTGCTGTCTGTGACCTAACTCCTGAGTCAAATATATATATTTTAGTTCAGGTGGGTATCTGCCTTAGCATGCATAGGCTGCAAAGTAACAAGTATTAGGTTTATTCCATGCTGAAAAGAGACGAAAGAAAACGTTGTGTTTTCTTTTTTCTCTTTTCAGCATGGAATAAAGCTAGTACTTGTTGCTATATATTTTTTTTACTTGTTTACATGTCAGAAATGCATTCATGGTTAAAAGATGCCTCTGCCAGGAGATTCTGAAATGCCGTCTCAGGGATTTGAGATTATTGGATTTCTCTTAACATTTCTCAAATGAGCCCCAGATTGCAAAGTAAAATAGGATTAAACACCTGTGCTTAGTTCTAAGTCCACCCAGACTTTTCTCATCAGTAAGCCACTTGTCCTCTGGGAGTGGCAGCAAGCCAGAGCCCAACCCAAAGTGATATGGTGTGTGAGACATGATTGAAAGCACTCTATACAGTCCATCTCAGATCTGTGGAGAGTGCAGCAATGTAGAACAGGCCCGTCAGACCTAACCAGCATGTCTTAGGAGTGGGAATCATTCCCGAGGAAACCCATGTTAACATGTGGAGAACACACAGGATCCACGCAGACAGATACTTGGGTGCAGAATGAAACTACATTAAGAACAGTGAAATGGGTCCTAGGTACATTCTGATCAGATGCAGACTTAGATGCAGTTGCAGGCTTTTTGAAAGTCAGAGAGAGTAAGATAGTTACAAATACGTTCATTACAAGTATTAATGGCTCTTTAAATATGGTAGAGTGCAGACTTGTAATTTTATTTTCAGTAAAATGGGTTATTTTATGGAAAACCACTCATTTGGCAAGAGCTTAGATTGTGGTTTACATTAGGGTTTCTGGATGCCCAAGTAGTTCCAATTTCCTGTTTTCCTCGCAAGGTGAACCTTGAATACTTAGAGGGGAAACTGGAGTCTTTGGATGGTGATGAACTGATGAAGATCAAGGACAATATCAACAGCTTGTTTCAGCACTGCATCCAGGCACTGGGAGAGGAGCATCAGATCAAGGTGGTAAATGCCTTACAGGTGAGTGCCAGCAGAGGGAGCACCAGAGCTGCAGTTTCTAGTCTTCAGTGCTTGACTCCCCTGACAGCAATGAAGGGATGTTTCTTTTTATTAAATTATAGAAAATAGCAGTTTTTCATTTTTCATACCTACATATTTGTATTTCTGAAGTTTAAGATGAAAGCCTATATCTGTGAACTAATGCACTCTGGGGATTGACTTCTCAAAGGCACTACAAGGCTATTAATTCAATTAAAAAAAAAGAATTTAGCCTCATTATTGAACAGTAGTATTCAAGTATTAAATAATAAAGCAGTTGCTTCAATCATTTTGTTGTGCACATGTAGTCAAATTCATTTTTAACTTAAAATAATGGAAAATTGTCACATGAGGCAAATTATTGATTCTTTGAGTAACTTTATGATAAATGTCACGTGGAAAATTGGATAGATTTATTTTCCCTGTTTCAGTAAGAAAGCACTAAGTATGTTTTTGTTTTTCCCATTTAATTTCAGACTTTGTGCGCCCTGTTCCGGGGGGTTCATCAGAAGAACAAGTCAACATCGGGCTTCGACATCATCAACATGCTGATGGGCTTCGACAAGGCTGAGTTGCGCATGAAGGTGAGGCTATTGTCCAGCCTCTCGTTAGACTTTTAAAATCTCCTTTTTTTATTTCCCTTCCCCCACTCCCCCCAAAAAATTAAGTATGTTTTTTTGGTAATGCTTTATTTGAATATTGTTGCATAATTCATATTCTCTTATATGCTACACAAGACACTATAATCAGAGGTGTAATGCTTTATAGGGACATGCTCAAATTACATAACATGTGTCAGGCTCACTCCCACTAGAATGCAGAAGAGCGAGCTAGTGTTTGCAGTGGTAGCCCTACATCCACCTGTCACTCAGTGCCGGTTGCCATGGAAACTCATTCTGAAAGGAAACCTGAATCACCTGTGGGCAACGCACAACTCTGCCTGCTCTGATGCAGAGTCTGCCCTGATCTCACCTTTGCTCCCAAGCTCTGTTCCCGAGTTTGCTTTGTTTCTTCTGGATTCTTGCCCTAACTGTGCCTTGATCACATATAGTGGATTTAACCATCTGTGCTGCCTTTGGACCCTGCTTTGTATTTCACTACCTTGGCTTTAGATTTTGGATTCGCCCCATACTTCACTACCGTGTCTTCCTTGCTCTGACTGTTGCTTTGCTGAACTTTGACCCTGGACTGTGTTTGACTGCACTGCTCTAGCCTGCAAGCTCGTTACTGCTCTACCCGAGTTCCTACTCTTGTTACAGCACCAGGACTGCTTGAGTTGCTACCACACAGCGCACTGCCTGCAGTTGCCCTGGTTCATCTCTCTCTCACCTTGTGGGGGGGTTTATCTTACACCTTACTGCTTACTTCCACCTTACCCAGTGGGCATGATATTTGTTTTATCTTCAAATACTATCAAGCATACTCGGCAGCATTAAATCTGACTGGTATCTGTCCGTTGCAGTGCTGCGTTTATGAGATGGAAACACTTTTTGTACCTTAACAAACAGTATTCAGGCTTAAAGCAGAAAACAAAAATGTATGAACACAAATGGAGATGTAAGTACAGTAGCAATAACTAAATTCTCATGGTGGTGCTGAGATTCTGTCCATCTGGGGTTCCTGTGGGGCTCTGCCATTAAAGGCTTTTTCTTGAAGTAGAGCTTGTACTCCAGCCTGAGCTTTGCCATTAGCCCACTGTGATGATGGTTTCTCAAGACAGCAGCCTGGAGGAGTGGTTATCTCTAGGCACGCAGACCTGGAATTAAACTTTAACCCCTGGGCTCACTGTTGTCTATGCCATCATGTAAGTCCACTCAAAGTGCTCCAGCAAAATGCTCCACTGTAAAAAGGTGAACATATGAGAAGTGTTATTCTAGGGGCTTGAGTGACAGGAAATACAGTAGGTGGTCTTGAGGTGACAAGAGTGTCTTGCCATGAGGGAGTTCAAAAAGAATGTGGGTGTGACAATGGGTATGTTGGGAAATGTATAATGCTCTTTAATTTTAACATAGTACTGAGTTTAATACAGTACAGAGCATAGTAATACAGCTTTTTAAAAACATTTCTCCAGACAAGGCGGTGAGAGCTGTAATCTTGTCCCTTCTTCAGGACCTCATGGAGAGTTTGGACACCCTGCTATGTGGAGAAGGTTCGGAAAGCTTGAAGAGCCTGTGTTTGAAGTTGCTGCTCTGCTTAGTGACGGTATGATTCTCATTAAGTCTGCATTGAGACAGGATGGGCTGGGGTAATTGAAAGGCAGAGCCTCGCTTACATGAGCATTTCTGCTCCAGAGGTATGTGTGCGACACAACACCAAGCATAAAAATATAGGCACAAACACACCAGTATATGGTAATCAGCTCTTGCCTTGCTGCATGGTCCAACAGTTTGGCTGATTTTTATACTCTGCCTGGGGGAAGTATTATGGCACAGGGCTCCATTTAAGCGTGTCAGGACCTTTTGGGTCTTTAGTGTCAGAACTGGCTTTATGCATCATTTGAGACCTGCAGAGTCAAGTAGGAGACTTCATCCATGTTGGCAATGCAGTTTTGTGGATTGATGTCCTGTCCCATATAATGTGAAATCAAATTGAAATATATTTTGTTGTGTGTGCTCCATTGAGCACCACCTAATGCAGCGGGTAGTAGCAGGAAGTAAGTAGCTGAACAAAGGAGATAGACCATGTGAGTGGGGGCACTCCGAGGACAGAAAGAGGAATGAATGCTGTCAAAGCCGATCTGCATGCTTGCTAATTTATGCTTTTAATTTCTTAGAGTGCCTGCAGAAATTTGTTCTCCAGTCAAAAGCGCCTTTGGCTTTAGAAGCAGTTATTGAACAGATTTGTAGCTCAGTACTGTTAGCAACACACTGTTGCATTTTAAAACCTCCATTGAGAGTTGAAAAGCAAAACATGGAAAGAGAAATGGCATTATATTTGAATCTGCGGATACTTCTCAGTTTCTATGGCAGCAATATTGCCACTCTGCAGGCTGATCTCATCAGATCTCAGCAAGGCTGGGCCTGGTCAGGACTGGCATGGGAGACCACTCAGGAAACCCTTAGTCTACCAGGTGTTGGTGGACCTGTAGGTGGCGCTCTTTCCTCTGAACCAGTATTTCTTTTTTTGAGTTCACATTTTTGTTTTGACTTTAGCAAGAAGTATCAGAAGAATATGAAGATGAGCAAGAAACAATCCATTCCCCCTCCCCAGACCCCATTACAATGAGACCTGCACCAGTCTTTCATTTACTCTAATTGCAGCTTCACTCCAGATGTTCACAGTGGTGTCGCCAGCTTTGTTTACTCTGGTGGTAGACAGTTCCACCATCACTCTGTCTCTGACGTATGAGAGCCATTGCTGTATTGGCAGGCTATGAGGTTAGCTGTGCTATCGGTTTCTTTGTTCAGTCAAACCTGTGAGACAGATTTCCCATTGACACTCCTATAGTTTGCGATATCTCGTTAAGTAATACCATGGAGCAGAATTCTAAACCCTATAAATAACCCGTATGGTGATCGGGAGCACTCTCTTCTGATGAGTCATTAAACTGGGTCCTGGTTGGGTCCTGCCTACTTGGTAAATAAAGAACCTATAGTGGTTTTTGAAAGACTAGGGTCATTAGCTCCCATGTCCTGGCAGTTCAACCTTATAAAACCTTGCTTTCTGTGAAGTTCCCCCCAGTTTGATCTGTGAACCAGCTTCTCACTTCTCTGCCTGATCTGCCATATTGGAGGGAGGTCTCATACTAGCTGCCATGCTCCACCCAGTTGTTTGCTGTATGTTCTGATCAACAGAGTAGGTCTTCCCCTGTGTGCAAAGCATCGTGTGTGAGAAACTGGACTGCTAACAGCTTGCAGTTAGGGCAGAGTATTGTGATTAAAAGTGAACATATACACCTATCTGGTAGCCTACACTTGTGTTTCACACAGGGTCTGACTCAGATGGTCATGCCCAAGGCTGGTAAATTTACCATGCACGGGTCTGTGTGTAGTTTTAATGAGCAGTACAGTAGTATTTTTGTGGAATGCTGGGCTGTAACTATCTCATTCTGTTTCAGGTGACAGATAACATAAGTCAGAATACCATCCTGGAGTATGTTATGATTAACAGCATCTTTGAGGCTATTCTACAGGTAAGAGGGAAAAAGATAGCTGAGACCATAAGCAGTTAAGATCTGTTTAATGTTCCAAAATGCGAAAAATGCTGAGTGTTAAAGGAGATCGTCTGTATAGTTTTGGGAAGAATAAAATGTAAAAATAGACAATTGACACAAGAAAGAAACATTTTAAACTGCAAGCTGTGTTATAGCATTAAAAACTAATGAATATGCATGATTTTTGACAAAATAAATTATGGCAAAATAGCAGTTTGCTTTATAATAGTTAAAATTTGAGATAATCTTGCGCATGCTGATCCCAGTGTAGAACCCTGCTACACTGATGTCAGTAGAAACAAAACTAAATTTATTTAGACCAAAACTATGATTATTTTATATTTTGTATTGTCAGTGCATGGGTTCTTCGTAAATTCCTATTTAAGAGGGTTTTGTGTTTGGGGCCCTGACAAAGCACAGTGTGTTAACTCACACCCACGGGTCCCACAGACTGCTGTAAATTACTGGTCTTGTCTTACTAATTGCCACATAATGTTATAATATTGCCACGAATTAAAAGTCGTTCTAATTACCACACAGAGCTCCAAATTACTACAAACTGCAAGAAAAATACCATCAAGTACAACAGAGCACCACAAACTAAATTATTAAGCGAATAAACATGACACAAGTTATAGGTTATGCAAATGCACTGTCTTGCTTTGTAATTAATTTTATGTGTTCGCTTATTTCGTATGCCTTTGCTTAGGACTGTCCAGGAATACTTGAAAGTAATTCATCCAGTTTTTCACATGACTTTTATCTGGATCCTCAGTAAACCTGATATGTTTGTTTAGAGGGCCTAAAACACACTTTACGGGTGCTTTTTTTTTCTGAAGGTGTCCAGCTCCACTTTATAGAGCTTGGACACAGTGATTTTTCAAAATTTAGAATGGCCCATTATTGTTTTTGTACCCACCTGGTTTGCAAAAGCCATGTCTTGACTCGCAGCTACGACCCCCAGAACTGAAGACGGGGAAATGCGGATATGTAGGCGAACACTTCTGTTTGTTTACCATGCCAGACATGGTAGAGGACTTCTAGACAGCACTGGCCGAACCAATTTCACCCTTCCTTTGGCGGAGCTCAACCAGTTGTGCTCTGTCATAGTCCCAGGTTCGAACCCGTGATCAACCTGGCGAGCCAGTCGACGGGCCATGGACACAGCAATTCTAAACTGACACTTTATACGTGTTTCTGTGAGATTGTCGTCTTGCCCTTTGCTGTGTACAGTACTTTATTAGCCAATAGCCCGTAGGAAGTAAAATGTTCCCACTTGTTTTTCCATTACAGTTATGCTGATAATTAATAGTAGAAGGTATTTTGTAGTAGTTATACTATATTTTGGTATGATATATAAATACTTAAAACATTTTTTTGCCTAGCATGGTTATTGAATTAAATTCTAAATATTTAATAAATCAAAGGTTGTACGTTTCCTCAGAACTGTAGTCAGTCCCATATTTAATTATTAATTTAAGATTTAAAACGACAGGGAAGTGACAGTATATCACAGCTTTTCTTGACTTTTCTTTCTTAATGGATTTGATTTTTTTTTTTTGATTTCTCTTGGTTTCAAGGATGTTCCTTCTTTTCCAGATCCTCTCTAGCTCTCCCAGCAGGATACAGCATGGGTATGATGCAGTAGTCCTCCTGGCTCTCCTTGTCAACTATAGGAAATATGAGGTGAGTGGTGCTGTCTGATCTCTGGCCAGCTGTAGAGCCTTCTGTATCTGCAATGAAGAGTGAGCCAGTGTGTTTCAGCAGTGATGCTGCGTAATTAATGTTAATTTTTCACGTGCTTCAAAAATCAGACGTTAGGCTGATATGAGATATGAGAGGATATGAGAGCAAATCTAAAAAAAAAGATGTTAATACCAGTATTTTATATTTTGTTATGAGGTGACCATAGGGCTTTTAAATTTCATGTAATGCTTGTTTCAAGATGTCTGATGCTAACCCATATTTGTACAGGGTTAAATATAAAACTCCTATTACATTTCCTTTTGAGCCATTCAACCCTAAATGCTTCCAAAGTGCTTTACAATGTAGGATGGGATCTTATCCATCACCAGGATGACCCACAACAGCCATTTTACATCCTTCACTACACAGCAGATAAAGTGGAAATTGCTTCACCAGCTGAATTAAGGGGGAACTTCAGGGAAGCCTGTAACAAGGTTTAGAGTGGAATATAGTCAGGACACCAAGATTAACATCCCTACTTGTAGGAACAGTTTCATTGGATTTCTAATGACCAGCTAGAAAACACCTCAATATAGCCTCTAATCCGAGGCAGGGCACTCCCTACAGCATACTGTAGTTTCTCCCAGTCACCAGACTGAGGCACTGGTCCTCCAGCACTACTTGCAGCTCCAGCCTGGTTTCCCTATCAGTCTCCCAGCCCAATAATTGAGCGTGCCTGGCCCTGCTGATCTTTTGAGATCTGACAAGATCAGTCTAAAGTGTCATGCAGTTTGCTTTGACACGCAATTCATGTTGACCAGCATTGTCCCTCCTAATTTCCCTCTAGATGTACAACATCTTCATCAGACCAGCCTAGTGTACTCTGTCGTGGCTGGGACTGGGTATCATATATTTTAATCTTGTGATCGGGTCAAGATGGTTACAGTTTTAAATGGGACTCGGCACACGTAGAATTAACTGCAAAGGGCTGACTGTGTAATGTTTCTTCTTCTGACAGTCTGTGAATCCATACATCGTGAAGTTGTCTATTGTGGACGACGAGACCACATTAAATGTGAGTGTTCTTATACAACTTGTTGCATTCAGTGATCCTAAGTAGGACAGTCCAGATGGTAGATCCCTCTGCCATTGCTTCTCTAGTTTACTTGTGTATTTCACATTATTACTTTTACCAGACGGGTTTAAAATGACCCCACCATTGCTCTGCATATTGATTTGTTCACTGAGTATTTGGTTTTGTTCCCAGCTGTTATATTGGAACAGATCAGTATTTGATGAGGGTTGTCTGCTGTTTACATGGAGGAAAAATGCCATGACAACAACAGCTGTCTTTCTTCCGGGAAATAAAAGCTAATTATTTGTCTTTATTTCCAGGGAATGGGGCTGGTGATCTCGCAGGCTCTGTCGGAATACAATAGGTAGGTCTAGCCTTTATTTTCATCATTTATTCTTTAAACTAATCGGTCACATTAAACTAATGTGGCAGCAGCACGAGTTACAGTTAGGGCTTTGGAATCAGGATTTGGAGGTTTCAAATCTGAGGTGGGTGGGAAGTTGGTACAGCATCCTTGAGTGAGACACTTTGCACTGCTTCCAGTCAACATCCCTGGTGCTTACAGAGCTGATAGAAAGTCTACACACCCTTCCCAAACTAACACATTTTCGGGTCTAACAGCCTGAAATCTAGACATGTGAAATCACAGTCTAGGTTACCCTTGTTTACACGTTGTACCACATTAAAGCCCCAAGCAAAAAAGATGCTCAAACATTTTGAAAAGTAATGAAGAATGAAAACCTAGAGAAGTGGGCAAAGAAGTCAACAGAGAACAAATGAACATCTGGTTGAATGAGAGATTAAAAAGCTTACAAAGCTCTCGAATGAGCTCAGATATTCAGAGGCAGCCAACTTGGCTGCTGTCTTGACCAAACGTAGGTGAAGGGTGAATCTGCAATTAAGAGTAAGCATGGACGTAACAGCAGGTAATATTTTGAATACCCTGATTCTTCTACACCATCTTGATGATTTTGTGAAGCACATGCCTCTGTTCAGGTCTGGTTTTACAGTCTCAAAGAACGGAAACATTTTGTTTTCATTGTACTGATGTGAGTTTTAATTTTCTGAAACAATTAGAAATTGGAGCACTAAATTGCTTTTAAACCACTATTGAGTGGTTAAAGGCTATTAGGAGTCATTCCAACAGAACGGAAGCAGTTGCTGCACACAAATTAATTAATTCATACAACACCAAAACATGTATAGCTAACCAACAGTAGAAATAATGTTATTTAGTAATAGTAATATAATTTATGAATTCCTCTGCTGTCATCCACATGGTTGGTTTTCTCAGGGCTTACAGAGATAGGAATTAATAACATCAGGGTTAAACATACATTGGCTGTATTATTTGTTGTCTGCCTCATAAGTTATGTCAAGTGTCATATATTTCATCACTAAATTTTCTCAAAGACAAGGTAATTTTTTTAAATGAATTAAACTTGTTTGGGGTAGAAGTTCAACTCTCAAGATTCTAATGTGTATTTAGATGTTTATACTCAAAGACTTGCTGGCCAGGCATTTCTGGTAGAGTTTATACTTCTCCCTGAGCATGGAGACGCTGGGTGTGTTGCAGCTGTCCAGACTCCTTCAGCTGGCTGGCTCTGTGCCAGGCAGATCTCAGGGCTCGGACAGAGGGAGAGAGGTGCGCATTGCTTAGCATGGTGCTGAAGACAGCTCCTCAGGGAAGTTAGCTTTGCAATAAACTTCACTTTAAAAAAAGTCTGTACATAGTGTCTGACATGGGAGAACACTGTTTGTCCAGGCTATAGAGCTGTTACTGAATATGCTCTGGTATCCAGGCTGTTGACAATAGGTCCAGCTGTATTGTATTAGTTCGCTGGGCAAGAGAAATGTACAATTGTCTTGTGAGACACAGGATTTCATCTGTTGCGAGAATCCTGGGCAGAATTCTGTTATGCATGAACTCGCTCTCTTTCGGCCTGGTGTCTTGAACTAAAGTTAAGTTCGACCAACAATGGTCACAGTCACATGGTTGGTGATGTTGACACTACATTATGAACATCCACTCTCTTTCCAAATTATGGCTCATCGAAAATATGAACTTTGCAAGTGATAATTCCAGTAATAACAAAAGTGTAGTATTCCAGAAGGGTGTGTCAGTTCAGTTTCTATAAGAGCTGTATCTTGTACAGAAAAAGAAAGGACAGAGCAAACTCCAGCTCCTTTTCACACCCTGCTGATGGTTCCTGATTCACTTTGTCACCAGGCCTTTGTATTTCAAAGCCAGACTCTGAAAGACAGAGTGCAGCTCGGTTTTTCTTTTGTTTCATTTCTACCCAGCTGGATGGAGAGGAGGACACAGTGTTGGGTCATGTTGTCCTTGCACAGGACAACTCGCCTCAGTTTTTAAAGGAGACATTTCCACAGCAGCACAGTAGCAACCTTCTTTAAGCCTGTGTCAGTGGGAATTGTTTCTGTTACACATTGCCCCCTTACTGTGATCTAGGTGTCAGGGGACACTTGAGCACTGGGGTTTATACCACCAAGCCTCTGACAGGTGTGGCAAAGGGAGGTCAGTTACTTTGGCATCACAGAAACGTCTAAGAGGAGCAGAGTGCTAAAAGGAGCAGGTGTACCACTGTGACAATTTATGTGCAAATTGTAAAGCAGCTTTGAAGTATTAAAAAGTAAGTTGCTCTTATCAGAAGTAACCCACTTCATTCTCATTTTGTGCTGTTTAACACAACTCGGTGATCTTACTGCTGCTTGTAGGTATTCTCCTTTTTTTTTCTGGAGGTCACAGTTCAGGTAACACTGAAACATCATTTCTGTGTTATTTTAATATTCAAGTCCCCAGATTAAAAAAAGTGAGCATGATCATACTTTTTCCAGCACTCAGACCCAGTGAAAATATCCCTCAGTGTGACATCCCTTTCACAGATGATAAAGCTGTAAGAAAATCAGTAACATTTTAGCACTTGAGAGAAAACAAGTAAAATAGCTTGATAACTGCTGTGAAGCACAATCATAGGGTTATTTGACCCCTTTATCTTCATTTTTAGCAAGTAACTAAAAGAAGTATTTAATATAATAGGACTTTTGCAGTTTAAAATCCTTACACGATGTAACATGCTTCTACTCTGCTTTCCAACATCTGCTGAACTTCTCAATGTAGAGCACCCCTGAGCTTATCACATGGAGCAGAGACCCAGACACATTGGAGGCCAGTTCTGTAATTACAAGATATCAGATGTATGCTTGTGTAGTTAGATCCCTTAAACCACGGTAAATAATAAATAACAGGCCTGTTCACATTCAGTGATTAACCGATCCTGTTAAATAAGGAATTGATTTGAGATTATTTTTTTCAAAATATATTCCAAAATGTAGCTTAAACTATCTCTTGGTATTATATGGATACATTTGAAAATGTTCTGAAAAATCATATAGTTTTCACAATGTGAAAACTTTGCCTATTTTAATATATGAAAAATCATATAGTTTTCACAAAGTGAAAACATTTGCCTATTTTAATAAAAAAATGAGGGTTACAAGCCAGTGAACAGCATTATATATGAAGTGAAATATAGATCAGTGTGCTGCAGAATTTCATGATTTGTTTTGAGATTGAAATCTTGCAGTTCAAAATTAATCAATATCTACTGACAACAAATAAAACATTACTTTGCCTGTAAGTGAAACCAGATTAGTTTCCAGCTCAATAAAGTGGCACAGCTCATCTACCTTGTAGTCATTCTGAATAGTGGTCTTCCTTCCTTGAGCAAATTTTCCAGTTCTGACAAACCCAGAACACTTACAAGAACTAGAATATTTTGAGATTGTCTCGTCTTTTAATTGCTGTATAATAAAATATTTACATATAAATATCAAACTTGCTGGTTTTACTTTATGCTGCTATTACTTCCAAGTGTTTATGAAAGTACTGCTGTGCAAGATGGTCTGTTTTAGAGTGCAGTGATTATTAAAAAAGATTAAATGACCAATTTTCAACTGCTGCTCTTGGTTCAAAAACACATATTTGAATTGAATAGCAACACTAACAAATAATGGTCACAATAATGCTGGCACTTAATTGTGTGGACTTAATATTAGCTTTTGACATTGTTGCTGCTTTTAAACAAGACTCTTGGTATCTTGGAGTTTTCTGCAGTGTTAAATTAAGCAGCCTTTATAGAATTGCTATAACTGCATCCCAACACAGTAGCCACCACCCTCCCCCAGAGTCAACCAGTCATGCCAAGTGCGAGAGACTTCTTTAAAGGGAAAGGTAGAGTCTCTAACCTTTTACTGCAAAAATCTGCCAGAATATTAGCTATGAAAAAATTGGTGCGGTATTTATACAGCTATAGATACACATGGGATCAATAGGCTGGTGGGGTCATTGATCTGGTCTTGTTATTCACAGGCAGTACAAAGACAAGGAGGAGGAGAACCAGGGTGGCTTCTTCTCTGCCCTCACCACCATGGTAAGAGCTGATTCGCCAGTGCTGACACCTCTGATAGCTTTCAGGAGATGGAAATGTCCTTTGTTTGGTCTGTTCTGGGTTTGCCTCTGTACCCGTGAGCTCAAGGTGCTGTCCTTTGCTTAGATGAATCAAGGCTGGCTGGTCATGCTTCTGTATGTTCTACTGTAATCAGCAGTTAATACAAGTCTGTATATGGTCTAGCTGGAGCATGGGGATGCAAATATATTCACTGCCTTGAATTCAAAATTCAATATAATGCAATAATAATGACATAATGCAATATTAAATTAATAGCTGAATCCTCTGCTTCAGGCGTGGAAAATGAAGCATTAACATGTTTTAACATGCAGTACTCTTTTTTTCCTCAGGTGGGCAGTATGTTCATTGCTGATGCAGAGGAGAAGATATCTGTGCAGTGAGTATCAAAGGGAATCTTTTTGGCACAGGGCTGTGATCAGGATAGTTTTTATTTTATAAGAAATGGCATATATAGAAAGTTAAGCACTAACAGGTTTGATATATAATAATTGCTGCATATGTAGATGTATAGTGAAAAGCAGATGTTTCACTGAATTAAGATAGATAATACTTTATTATCCGTAGGGAAATTGATGTGTTACAGCAGTCCAGCCCAAGACAAGCAAAACAGACATCAGAATAGTTATAAAACAAAAGACAAACAAGATAAATAAAAATAAATAAATACATAGGTGTGTGCAAAATGTGCTGATCATAGTCACTGTAAAAACAATAAAATATGTGCAAAATGTGCATAGGTTTATACAGACTGATTGTCCAAAAAGTACAATGGAGTAAACCCTGACAGCCGCCGGGAGGAAAGACCTGCGGAAACGTTCCCTTGAACACCGTAGCTGGAGCAGTCTATTGCTAAATGTGCTCCGCTGCCAAGTAACAATTAATTAAGATTTTCTATAAATATAATGCTAAGCTGTTTCTAATTTGTCTGTGATCATATTTGTAATTTTTCCCATTCTGATTGTTGATTTTTCAAGGTAAAGTCTTCCATTAAAAATGTGTGGTTTCTTGAAATCATCGTCTGTCTGCTACAAGTCCCAGCTGCTAAAGAAATGCCTGTTTTCATACCTTAATGGAATGAAAGCATCAGACGTTTCTCCAGCAGCTGTTTGTGCAAGCAGGCACACAGCAGCTGGCGAACACACCCAGAACACCCCTCGGCACACAAGATAGGGCATGTGATGTAGTACTTTCATAACCATATAGATTGTAAAAATGTAAAAAAAAATAACTTGGTGATAAATAACAGTACAGTGCTGTCTGCTGAATTACTGATACAAGAATCAGCCATTTAAAGTGCTCAAAAGTACTGTGAATTATTATGATCATTACTGTAATAGCTCTGTATAAATACCCCACTTATAAGAATCAATGAGAATTATTTTAGTGCAGCCTCACTATGTAATATGAGCCTGATTTTAATGAAATGATGCATAAGTCACCAAAGCTGTTTTGAATCTGATAACACTTCATTTCTCACATTAGGTTTTGTAGTGTAAAGTATAAATCTCATACAAGTAGAAATAGTAGTAAAAAACATTTTTTTCTAATCAACTACTAATTCCAGCTTTCAGTTTCTAAAGCTGGAAGCTTCTTGTTTGCTGCTGTCTGACATGGGATGTTTGTAATGATGGTTGCAAGGAAACTAAAACTAGGATCTCTGTGTTTTATGTTTCTGTTTGAGCACATAAATGTTTGGCCGATATCAACTATGTTGGGTTGGTATGATGGGAGTACAGTAGTGAGCAATCGCAGGTGCCATTCCTGTACAAGACAAGGACGTTGGTGTTAACATTAAATGAGTTCACATAAGCTGTCTTCACCGCACTCATTACAGTTTGTCAAATTTTTAATTGTTGCTTAAAATCGGGGGTATTACAAGTTGTTACTCGTAGATTTTTTTTTCCTACATTGTGATTCTGTGTGGGAAGTGTATGTCTAACAGCCAACCAGTGGAAAAGGCTAAAGTATTATCTCCTTCTGCTTCTGGAAGATATATTAACACAATAAAAGTCACAGTTTTGTAGGATTAATGTATGTAGAATTTCCGTTTCTTTTGGATCTATAGCTCATCCTAGTGTTTGGATGAAATACTTCCAAGGAACAACAGTCTGGCTGCCATAAGTGGAACTGGACCAGTAGGTGGCACTCCTCCTTCTAGAGTTTGGTGACAGGACACGTTCATTAGGATGAAACCTGACCGCTTGGTTCTGCCCACTTGGTCATTAAATGTCCTGTGAATGAGTGGTGGCTAAATACCAGTCCGACTCTTTACAATTTGGCCTACATAATGTTCCCCTTTCGATCACGTGGTGAATTTTTCACTTCACCACCTCTGCTATATAGTGAATCTCATAATAGCTGCCATGCATCAGCCAGGTGGAAGAAGCACTGTAGTAGTGGGTGAAGAAGGTCCCCTCCTGTATCTAAAGCGCTATGGGATCTTTTAGGATGGAAAGTATTAAAATGCAATTAATTATTATCAGTAGTGTCTCACAGTGCCAGTCCAGTAGTGCTGGTATTCCCATTCACTTGTCCATGTCATACAGTTCTTGCGTATATGGCACACAAACCTGTTGTAACCAATTAAATTATTGTGATGTGATGATCCACTGCATGTTAGTAAAGGATAAATGAATTTAAATATAAAGAAAGCTGTTGAAGGTAGCATTGTCTCAGAGTGGATTTGTGTTCATCTTGGTGGGTTTGAGTCATCAGAGTTTCCATTCCCATCCCAGTCCTCATGGTAGTAAGCGTGAGGGGGTATCGAATTCCCTTGGGATACAAAGATCTCGTACTTCAGTGTTCCTAGATTCATGCTAATTCACTGACTCTGCAGACCAGAGCAGAAGCGATGCTTAGTGTTCTGCTGACACCACTTGACAGCAACTTTTCCAAGACAGTTTTGAAAATTGCAGCCTGTAACCTTGTATAAGTGACATGACGTTTAACATCACACAACACAGACGCTGCCGGGCGAGTATCAATATTTAAACATTTTCCATTTGATGGTCTCGCATCAGTTTGGATTTCCATGTGGTTCTGACCTGTGTGCCTGATTGAGTGAGCAGCAGTAACTCTAGTTCTTTATCTGTTACAGAACAAATGAGGCTATTCTTCTGGCTCTGTATGAGGCAGTACATTTAAACCGCAACTTCATCACTGTACTCGCACAGGTAAGATTGAAAAAATCTCAGAGCAAATTTTATTGTGCTTACCCTGGTAGACTTTATTAATTTTGTAGTAGAAATGTATCTGTAATACCTGTCCCTGGTGCTGTAAGGAGAGTGGTTGTAGAACTAGCTATGATCTGGTGTACGGCAACAAAGGATAAAGGATGAGTGACTTTTATCTTACAGATCCCTGTTAAAATTAAATAGATCCTCCTCCTAAACATTTATGACTATATTGGCATTTACTCACTGTAATAAAAAACATGATGCTATGATGCCCATGGTTCAGATGACTGCTGATATGAAACTTTTCCTCATGCACTGGAACATTCTACTTTGCCTGCTAGGTGTTGTGCTTGGTGTTGTGTTTTCTCTTGTGTAAAGAGTATAGGAGTGCTCTGAACAGTACAGTAATATGTTACTCTGCCCTGTCAAGAATAGTTGTTAAACCCAAAGTGGCTTTGGTTTAGCTCTGTAGTAGATGGGAGGGTCAGCAAAGTAATTTCAGGGTTTTAAGGTGTATTTCTTCTGCAGAGCCATCCCGAGATCGGCATGTTGTCGTCACCAGTGACGCCAGTTCCCACCACGCCCACCACGCCCCTGGGCACCACTCCACCCTCCCTGGATGGTGAGCTCTGCCTGGACCCTGTGACCTCTCACCCCCCTCCTGTTCTACACTAAATCTGTGTACCAGGGCTTGTGTGGGCCGGAGGTGGGGAGGGTTAGGGCCAAATCTGAATTCTCCGCATGTATATTTCATTAAGTAGCATATGAACTGTCCAGTTTAACTCATTTGTCCCCTGTGCTCTATATTTAATCTTTAATTTGACCTCCAGTGAACTACTGCCCTCTTTGACAAGAGGCTTGATGAGTCTTTTGAGTTTATTTTCCTTGTCCTCAATGGTTAAGAGGAGATTGCCTTTCATTGTATTAGCGGAGGCTAAGCTAAGGCTGAAATGGGGAAAAAAACGTTCCTCTTTCTTCTCTAAAGTGTTTCGGAATGTTCTTTGTCATTCATTTTTGATGATGTCTGTGCTCCTTTAAAAAATTCAGCATGCTGGTGAAGGTTTTTTTTAAAATTATCAAATGACGTTATGTAAGTGAAAAGGGAAGTCGCAGATGATAGATGCTTATCTTGCAGGGAGCTGGTGAAAATCTCATTACTGGAAATGGTGTAATTTAAAAAAAAATCTGGCTTTCAAGGCTATTTTTCCAAAGGTTGTGATTTAATCGCTCTGTGTAACGCGTTGCTGTGACGTTCGCAGTAAATTAGAGCATTCCCTCATTTGTTGGAAAGGGAGAGCTCTGAATTTTGCTTTAGTTGTGTTATTCCAACTAACACATCCTGGAACATAAAAAATTTAAACTTATTAAATAAAGATAAATCACTGAATAAACCGTTTGAGAACCTGCCATCTTAAGTTTTAGGAGCCCGCGCTTCGTTGGAATCCTGACCGGAATCCTGGATGACATTCCTGGTTAAAAGAAAAGAGAGAAGTGAACTGCAAATCAGACTGTGTTGGGGTGCAGCTGAAGTTGAAAGGACTTTGATCAGATTGTGCTTAACAAGGGAAAAAACATGTTTTGAGTGCTATTTTATAACACCGTTGGATTTTCTACCTTTATATTCTTTAAATTCGGTTTTGTAAGGAAAAATAACAAAATGTGTTTCTACACTCAGGGGTGCCTATGCGTTTAACACATTGCATATTCAACATTTATTTGAGTCAGTTGTAAACTCTGCGCACTTGTTCTGTAGCTCTTAATAAAAGTGTTGTTTAATTTAAAGGAGCACAAAGGGTTGCATTTTCAGAAATGAAAGCTGCAGGTCTGAAGTACCTGTTGTTGACCTGTAGAAGTGCGAACAGCTTGTGAAAGCGGACAGGCCTCAGAGTGCTATGCGCCAAGGACCTCATTTCTATCTACACTTTGCTGTTTTCTAAGTCCCAGATGAAGGATTTGTTTGTTAATTTTGTCATTCTGATAGTGTTTAACCTGGTAAAGGAGGTCAGTTTTTTGCCTTGAGCAGTTCTTGTTGTCCTTTTACTGCGTCCAGCCAAAATATTAGGAATTCCTATGAAGTGAATAGACCTCAGTCTTAACTGCCATCAATGCATAGTTGCCATAAAAAAAAGCATTTCTTCGACTCCCATCACCTTCCTTTGCCAGAGCAGTTCCTTTGCCCAAGTCATTCAGTCTTCTTGAACAGGAGTCGGACCAGAAACATACAGTTTAGTCCAGCACACCACGATTAATACCACAACCCCAGCTGACGGCAGTCTTGTTGAAGGAAAGGGATGGGGGCCATGTGGTATTTTTTAAACTTCTTGTTTCCCAAGCCAAGCTGTTGTTACCTGCAGATGTCTAACAAGGTATTTTGGGAGAGGGTTGGATATTTTAAACCCCAGTGATTGTAGTGATGCACTTCTCCTTCTCTTACAGTGATGAACTCCACAGAGCTGCCCCTTGACCCCAATCTGCAGACCAGCAACCTCCTCATCACCTTCCTCAAGTACTCTTCCATTGTCATGCAGGACACCAAAGGCAAGTGCCCCCCTCCTCTGCGGCACTGCACAGCTGGCAGATAATGGCTGTCGGTTCCAATGACGCAAGTTAAAAGGGATACAAAAAATGTTTCAACGCCTTCGATGAGAGGAATACATAATATTATTATTATTATTAATAATTGCTTACACTTATATAGCGCTTTTCTGGACACTCCACTCAAAGCGCTTTACAGGTCATGGGGACTCCCGTCCACCACCACCAATGTGCAGCATCCACCTGGATGATGCGACGGCAGCCATAGTGCGCCAGAACGCTCACCACACATCAGCGATCAGTGGGGAGGAGAGTAGAGTAATGAAGCCAATTTATAGAGGGGGGTTGTTAGGAGGCCATGATTGATAAAGGCCAATTTGAAATTTGGCCAGGACAAACCAGGACCAGGACGGGGTACACCCCTACTCTTTTCGAGAAACACCCTGGGATTTTTAATGACCACAGAGAGTCAGGACCTCGGTTTTACGTCTCATCCGAAGGATGGCACCTGTATACAGTATAGTGTACCCGTCACTACACTGGGGCCCCTGCTGGCCCCACTCACACCTCTTCCAGCAGCAACCTTAGTTTTTCCCAGGAGGTCTCCCATCCAGGTACTGACCAGGCTCACACCTGCTTAGCTTCAGTGGGTTGCCAGTTGTGAGTTGCAGGGTGATATGGCTGCTGGCCATAATGCCTCCCTTTCGTCTGCATGGGCTCCAGTCTAATCACATTTAATGTTCTACTGTTAAATACAGTAATTGCTCTCCCCACCCAGTGCTTTGAGGACGCAAGGCTGCAGAATATTTAAAATACATAAGCACATGCACTTGCACATCTGACCTTGAGGATTTTAACTGTACAGCGGATCAGAATTTAATGTTTTGTAGTGTTCTTGCACCTTGAGCGAAGGTAAAGTACCATGTACTATGTGCTCCAGAGTGGCTTTTCAAGGGAGTGGCTTCACCAGCGGGGCGGATTTGTTTCTTAGCACACAGATTGACACACAGGGCTCCTTAATTCTGTTATTTTGCTAGTCTTTGTTGACGGTTAGTCTGAATGGTGTGAAGTCTGCTGCATCACTGCCAGCAGAGACAGGGTAACCTCTCCTTGCACCAGCTAGAAGCTCCTGAGGTGGGCGTGTGAGCTGCCAGCCCAGTCCTGCTGGGGTATCAGGAGCCTAAGTGCCCCGGCTTTACTGCACTTCAGTGCCCCCCTGCGGGTGCACTTTGTGGGAGTATTGGTGAAGGCTGCCTCTGGGTGGTGTGTGCGTTGTGCTGTGTTGCACTGGGACTTGCAGGTCAGAAAAAGCAGAGGAACCTGGTAATTCTGTTCTCAAATCATGATGTCTGTCTTCTTCACTACTCCGCTGGCAGTGCTGGGCTTCTAGCAGTGAAATGAGTTAAACAATCAGTTTAACAATTACAAATGAAAAAAAAAAACATTCATTCTGACTTTTAAACAAAACAGCAACAACAGAAAAGGACTTTGTTTTTGCATTTCTCCGAAGGCTGGGAGACAGTTTGAAGGGGATTTGAGATGCCGTAGCTGTGTCTGAGAAGAGTGCAGCGTTAACGAAGAAGGCAATAAATAAATCTTTCACGGTTTTGTGGTGCAGGGTCAGAAAGCACACAGCACTTACCGTATTACAAGGTATTATTCTTAGAGTTCTCTAAAGGCTTTCATTTCTGGAGCTGATTTTTTTTAAGGATAGGCGTCATCAATCAGGCTTCTCATCAAAAGCAGTAAGGGAGAGAGAGAGGTGGCTAGTCCTGTGTCTTTTATGGCTCTTTCAGATGAGCTGGGTCACTTTTGCTGTCGATTTCTTTACAGATGAAAACAGACTCAACAGTGCCAAGCTGTGCCTTATCATTCTCACCTGTATTGCAGAGGTAAGTGCCTCTTCTCTCTTGCGTACTGTGTGTGTGCATACCCCACCTGGCACAGGACTGTAAGTTCCACCTGGTGTGAGCAGAAGCATGCCTGCAGAGGAAAAGAAGAGACAGTCACCCCTTTCACCGTTTCTTCAAAGAAACCGCTGGTACAGAAACAAGACTCTTTGTCACTCGTGTCTGAAAGCAGTCACGTGCCTCCTGTTTCAAATGCACCAGCCCTTAACTTCCACTTTTGAATGGGAACGCGGTCTAAAAAGTGGTGCTTTGATGGCCGCATGCCGTCCTCCGCTAGTGGCTGCCATGGTACTGTACTTGAATCCGAGAGTCAGCAGTGGAGCCAGGCAAGAATTAAAGTCAAGGAGTGAAAAGCGGTGCATGTCATGTGAAGAGCAGATGGTAAGGAATCCCAGGGGACAACAGAGCGATAATTTCTGTGAAACCGAAAGGGTGTTTTCAGAGCTGTACTCTGTCCCAGAGGGTATGCACAGTGGATGTGCCCATTGTTTGTGTGATGTACTGTGAGTTTCTGTTCTGGTTAATAGAGTGCTAACACTGAACCCAGAGAGACCAATTTGTACACAATGTGATTCCCTCTCACTCTTTCACTTTGTTCCACTGGTTTTGCATTAATTCCTCTTCTTTTAAAACTCCTATTTTCCTCTTTCCCTCCACTGTAATTCTGGTGTTTGGAAGTTCCAGGCAGCCAAAGGCAGAATGTCTATTCTTAGCATTAGTTTCCAATGTTATCTAACCAAGTCCTTGATTAAATCAAAACTGACTCTTTTGCCTGTTTTAAACTGTAGACATTAATCTTTAATGACCTTAGGCTCTGTGTAGCTCCTTTATGAAAAGCAAGAAGGCTCTGGCAAGCAAAAGCCTTCAGAAACTACTACACCTGGACTTTGTGAGTGTCAGCCAGGTCAAAGCATTGATTTATATTGGACCTTGTTATCTTGCTGGGATTTAAACCTCACCTCCCTGTGGAATTCCCTGTCTGTTGGCAGTTTATTGCAGCGCTGCTTCACTCTTGTCTTTTTATTGCAGGATCAGTATGCCAATGCCTTTCTCCATGACGACAACATGAATTTCCGAGTGAACTTGCACAGGATGGTGAGAGGCAGATCATCCTGAAACGCAGCACAGAAGTCTTCTGTTTTCTGTCCAGGCTAAACCAGTCCAAACTGTGTGGAAGTGCATTTGAATCTGAGAACAGGAGGCACTTCTTACACAAAGGGCTGTGGGAGTATGGAACGGGCTGCCCAGCCTTATTGTTGAAGTCTGTACCCTGGCTTCTTTCAATAACAGCTGGCTTAGGTCAATTAGCTAATTAAATACTTTATGGTCTGGATGGGCCAATGGACTCCTCTCTTTTGTGACGTGTCTTTTGTTCTTCTTCCTGACACTTGCTCCATCCAGCCATCCTTGCCTGTTGAAGTCTAGAACAGGCATGTGATTTGTAACTTTAGAAATGATAAGCAGACCTAAACGTTGCTTATTCCTTTAATTAACCAAAGGATTATTATCCTTATAATTGTTTGTTCTTGTCCTGTGCCAGTGATCGTAGGAGACGTTATGGCCCTGAAAGGCCATAACCTGTGAAGAGCACAAGGGGCTCTCAGATGGTCAGAAGGAGTGGCACTCCCAAGATGTTGTCACTGTCTTACAAAGTTTCAAAGAATTTGAAAATTGAGAAAAAGTTTGTTTTAATTTTTTAGTGAAGGCCAGACCTTGGAAAGTTTTATTTTCCTTTAATGTTTCTATCTCAGGCTGGCCCTAGGAGTGTGTGTGTGTGTCTGGCTGCCCTGTGACCAACTGGTGTCCCATCCAGGATGTACCCTGCCTTTCGCCCAATGGTTTCTGGGATAGACACCAGCTCTGTATCGGAAATAGCAGTTAGAAAATGATTGGATGGTTCTATCTCATGTTAAGGGTTTTTTTTGGATGCAGTTTTATAGTAGAGGTCTGCTCATTACGACTTGCACTCACACAGAGATTGTGAAATTGTTCAGTTTTGCTTCAGCATTTATTTGCTCAGTTCTTAAAGATATCAGCCTTCTGCCTTAGGTGACCAGACATTGTTGTTAGTGCTTGTTCAGTTTTGTGTTGGATGGATATCTGTGCCCAGGCTGGTCATTTAAATATATCAGAACCTCCCATGCATCGAAGGAAAAACATTGTGAAGAGGAGAGATTTGAGTAAATCAATGTGCCTATTTTATGTGTGCCTCATGGGATGGGTTCTGGTGTGGCTTGGTTCTGGATGTGCTGAAGCAAATGCTTGTTTGGCAAAGTTTAATCCAGACTATGTGTGTGTGTGCGTGTGCATGTTTATCTGTCAATGTGGGGCCAAAATACCCTACAACGTTTTTGACAAATAGACAATGTGTGTGGATTTACTTTTTTGTAAACCATATTACACGTTCTTTTAAATCTGAAAGCACCAGAACTATTTGTTTTGGGTTTGTTTCCATTCTATATCAGGTGTCATTTCAGTGGAATATAGTAAATAAAAATGAAATGGGAGCCAATGGGAAAGAAATTTAGAACAACAAACATGTATACTTGTCAGACAGTAACCGAGCATGTGTGTTAATCAGGGACTGAATTGCATTGTGCGAATTTGTCATTCAGGGACCGAACTGAACTGTGTGTGTGTCTGTGTGTATGCGTCAGTCAGGGACTCAGTTAAACTGTGTGTGCATTTGTATGTGTGTGTCAGCCTAGAACCGAACTGAACTGTGTGCATTATGTATTTTTTATCAGTCAGGGACCGAAATGATTTGTGTTTATGTGCTGATTAGACTGGGTCCAAACTGAACTCTGTGTGTGTGTTCTGCAGCCCATGAGACACAGGAAGAAAGCCGCAGACAAGAACGTTCCCTCCAGACCACTGGTGTGTGCAGTTCTGGGTGAGTGCCACAGTGACAGCACACTGGAAGTAGCAAATTTCAAACAGGAGGCATTTTTCTTTTTGGTATGTCCCTTTTTTAAACTCTGTTTTTATTTACCCTGTTTCATCAATATGCGTTATTTCTATTTTTCTTGCAGTCTGTGTTTTTAAACAGGTTTTGAAACTTATTTACTATAGTCCCTTTTCAGTATTCATTAGTAATGTGCTGAATTTTGTTTTCTTACTATCCTCTTGAATCTATTACAAGCTGACTTAATCTTTTGCTCCCTCTACTTTTAAAAGGTTTAGCAAACTGTGTAATACACTTAATACAGTAATGGGTTCTCTTTCTTGCAGACCTGATGGTAGAGTTCATCGTCACTCATATGATGAAGGACTTTCCCATGGATCTCTACATGTAAGAGCGCCTACTCAGTTTCTGAGTTCGTGATTTTTTTTTGGACTCGGTTATCGCTGTAGTTTGCTCTTAATGCTCCTCTGTTCCTCCTTGCCGATTGCAGGAATGACTGATTATAAACTCTTCTCATTGCACAAGGCCCTTGTTCCAGCATGGGGTAGTGCAGACTCGTAAATGTGCGTTTGCCATCGTCCACCTCTCGTCCCTGCAGCAGACGCCATTGCAGCTGGTCTGCCGGACCCATGCAGCTCCTCACTCACAGTACCTCAAGGTCACAGATGCTCAGCAAACCGATGAAGCCATGATTAGTCTCTAGTACTCCTAAGCCTTGCTACATTTTCCCCAATTACCTGGTTTTAGGGTAAATCCTTGGCTGCAGTCACCTGAAAAACAGAAAGCAGTTTGATCCGTTTCATCCACTTTTTACAGAGCGGCAGGCCTTCATGCAAGAAAAGATAAGAGCACTTTATTGGCCATATACAATTTCTTGTATTAGGAATTTGTCTTTTTTTTGCATACCCCAGCTTGCTCTCCATGAGACACACAGACAGGACGAGAAGCTTGGGGTCAGAGCGTAGGGTTGGCCATGTATACGGTGCCCCTGGAGCAGTTGGGGTTAAGGGCCTTGCTCAGGGGCCTAATGGAGTAGGATTCCTCTGCCGGCCGTGGGATACGAACCGGCAACCTTCCAGCCACAGGCGCGGATCCTTAGACACAGAGCCACCACACGGCATGTAAACCAGTATCATGTTAGATGCTGTATTTCAAGCTTGTTAACCTTACTTATATGTGCACTTCTTTTGCATAGTCAGGTGTGGAGTTAAATTTATTAATCTTCTGCTTGAGCGGCACAATTGTGCAAGAGCCAGTCGCTTGTTACAGTTGAAAAGGGTCAAGCTGCTACAGCAATGGAAGTTTTTAATAGTTTCCCTGCTGTCAGCTAATGACTTTGCAAAACTCCAAAACGTTAACAATGAGAACGTTTTTTGTGCTCTCTGTGAGTGAGGACATGAGAGCAAGGCTGTGTGTACCTGGTAGCAAATACGGGATATTTCTTAATAGTATGCAAAGATATTCAGCTTGACGTTAGTAATTCAAATACTTTTAATATGACTGTGTCCTTTTGTATTTACATAATTGTATATTTTGCCAACTCTGCAAAGGTTCAGTAGTATGAAAAATATATTCACTTCTTCTGAATATGTAAATGAAGTTCATGACCTTCATGTATATCTATTCATGTGCATGTTTTTTTTTTAAATTGGGAAAAGTTTTGTTAGTTTTAATAGTTTCTTCTAGAGTTAGAATGATTTTTGTTTTGACCTATGTCTGAAACCCATGATATTTTCAGTGTGATAGCATTTTATTTTTTTTGGCTTTCTGGTTCCTGCTAACTGCATCCAGAAAGAGAGACAGGTATTTTAATTTTCTGTAATACGACTAGTATTAATAAGGATGCTCGACCAGTTCCATTGTAGGTAAAGTAGGTAAGTAGGTAAAATGGGATTCCAGTGAAGAAGAGATGAGGATAAGAAGACAACCCAGCTGTTTTTATATTTAATCAATTGCTAATTGAAAAGTATATCTTAAACCTTGAGGAATGGGGTGGCCCTACATTCTTTATGGTTCTGACTCTCTAATGTATTTAAATAGCACCCTAAGAAGGGTCCTTGTCACTGACAGATGGAACTGATCAAAGAAAGTCACACTGAAATCGGCTACGCTGATTTGTGACATATTTTCATGTTCATGTGGGTTTTCGCCATTTATTGTGGTTTCCCCCCTTACCTCCCAATGTCATGCTGGCTGGTCTTACTGGTATCTCTAAAGTGCCCTGGCATGTGTGCCCTGCGATGGAGTGGCATCCCGCCGTGTACCCACTGCCTCTTGGATAGGCTGCGGGGTGCAGCGGCCCTTACCGGTAGTAAGCAGCTTTCTGTGAATGGATGGATGAATTTCTAATTGTCTGTATTGGCTTTTGCAGATATTGCTGAAATTAACAGACTCTCTCCTGGGGATTTATTGTGATTTGTTTTTTATTGTCAATCACATGGAAACAGCACTTTGTGCTTCCTGGTGTGGATCCCTCAGCAGTATTCACTATAAAGTAAACACTAATTATCATAAATATCACAGTTGTTTCCCAATTCTCTGGATTTTAGTAGTGCTTTTTATCCTAGTGGATTGCAAACTGCTGTGCATATAGGAGAGGACCCACATCATCCTCTACTGCAGGGCCCTCCTGGGTGATGCGCAGCAGCTACTATGCCTCTGCTGCCTAACTGAAGCAGATACAGAGGAGAAGTGAGAAATTAGTGCACCACTTTAACTAAGGGGGATCTAGATTGTTCAAGCCCAGAGAGGAATTTAGCCAGCTCACCAGGGTTAGTGCCACAAGATCTTTAATGAATAAATAGTTAGAACCACCTACAACAGTGTTTCTTGTTGTCATACTAGAACATAAGTCAAGAATTCAGGTTAACATATTATATAAAGGATAGCATCTCCTCTAGCACAGTGTCCACTGGCACCGTAATGAAGCACTAGTTTGGAAATTCTGGTCCAGAGGGAAGATTCCCATCTACTGATCTGCTAACACCACTTACAGCAGCATCTCCTGCTGACCAAGACCAACCTTGGTCAGGTTCTGAGATCTGACAGAATGAAGTGGCAAGGTGGAAACACTGCCTGCAATACAGGTTTACTATACTTATGTGATTAAAATCTCTGCAAATGTTAAACAAAGACCTGGTGAGGTTCAGGAGACTGAAACGATTTTAAGGATTTTTTAAGGATTTTTCTCTCCTTCCCTGTTGCATCAGAATCCTAAGACCATGATAGCTGGCCCAGTGTCTGAGCCATAAGGGTTTCCATTGTGCCACACTGTACATTTTGATTTCCAGCTTCATGTCAAAAGCACTTTTAAGTAATATTGATGAGGTTTCAAACCCAGTACAAAGTAATGCAGAATTTATGAGCAGCTTATCATCTTTGCCAATCAATTCTCATCGCTAACATATGATAGAGAATTAATATAAAGTAGTCTTTGCTGTAATTTGAGAAACATTACAAAATTGCTGAATGAGTTGTCATGGAATTACCAAAAGAAAATTTGGACTAAATGAACAAAATTGATTATGAAATATGGGACATAAATGTTCACAAAAAATATTAAATATATTTGCTGTAACAATATCAGTCATTTTGGTATAGATCTCTTCTTTTTATTTTTGTTCGTTAATTTACTGCCCTGCTCTCTTTGGCAAAAACAGTGAAGTAGTATGTTTTTGTTCCAGTTTCCTTTCATCTTCCAAAGACATACTACGTTACTGTGTCTAAATTGTTATTTTTTGTGGGTGCTCATATGTACCATGCGACGGACACTTGTCCATAGACATTGTCTCGCCAGGAGCCCATTCCTTCTGGAGTAAAATCTGGATTGCCACCACACTTACCAGATATAAGTAGCTTTCTATCAGCTTAGCTCATCCAGCTGTTTCTTGAAAGAAGTCTAGGTTTTAATGTTGATTACATGGCTAGGTAACGTGTTCCACACACCCACACTTCTTTGTGTACAGGAGTGCCTCCTGCTCTCGGTTTTAAATGCACTTCCACTTTGTTTCCACTTGTGCCCTTTGTTTTCTGTTTCAGTGCATATTCTGAGGGTGTTCACTGCGTTGAGTTTTTCATGGCTTTTGATTTTGAACACTTGGATCAAGCCTAATACTCTCCTCAAGACTGCAACCACCTCTGGAAATGACACTGTATCAGACACCCTCACAGTACACATTTACTGTATGTCTTGTGTGGGTCCAGTTGCTTAAATGGTATCATATGGCCATTTAAAAAGTCTACATGACGTGCGGCAGGGTCAATACTAGTGTTTTACACTGTTCAACATGCTAAGAGCTCAAAACTTTCCTTAGGACTTACTTAATCTTCAGTGAAGAGGACTGTTGGAATAATAAACAGTGAAGAAGGTAGATACAGTGTCCTAATGCGGGTTTCTGTGACTGTGACTTCCCAGGCGCTGCGTCCAGGTCGTGCACAAGCTGATCTGCTATCAGAAGAAGTGCCGAGTCCGGCTACACTACACTTGGAGAGAGCTGTGGTCAGGTAAGCGAGACTGGGCGGAGGAAAAAAATGTCCATGAAATTCCAGTTGTGCCTACAGAATGCCGAGCAGCAAATGTGTAAGAGATGAAAGGGGTCAGCTACTAAATAAAGTTCTCTTAAATAATTTTGTTTCCATTCTGAGGGACAAATGGTTTTCCTCAGATGAAGGCACCCTCAGTGGTGACTTGGAGAACATACAGGCCAGATAAAATGGTGGAGAGTCACATCCTTGTTAACATGGGTATTGCCCTTGTGGCCTGCATTTCTTTCATTTTCTAAGCTTTTGCATATTTTCGCTGCTGACTGTTATCAAAGCTTCATGTGGGTCGTAAAGATATATAAAGGAAGCCTGCGTGAACAAATAACACCAAAGTTTGGTGGTGCTTTTGTTTCATAAATAAAGTCATCCAACATTTAATTTCCCTGTGTGAAACAATTAACGCCCCCTTAGTGTATGACAAATATTCCACAGAATGGAAAGAAACTTGCAAGATGAATTTACCTTTCTCGTTGTTTATCTTCTTTGGTTCTGCAGAAATAATGCATCTTCTAACTACATGAAAGTGACAGCTTTTCTGCGTGTTTTATGTAGGCTGCTTGGCAGCTCACATCAATTTCTTTGAGTCACCAAGCTGCTGCACCTTCTATTAAGTGTGTTTTCATTTTCTGTTCTGTCCCATGTCTGTGTTTGCTTGTAATGTTAATCTGGCATAACAAATCAGAAATACAAAGATAACCAGTACAGACTTAATATGTATTAACTTTGCAGTTAACTCATACAGATAGCTGAGAAGATATTTTCTTGTTTTCATTAACAATATGTATATTAATACCTTGAAAAAATGATATTAATTTTAGCTATAGTAGGGCATTATTCACTATCTAACATAATTGTATTCAGGAAGAATACAACTCAGGAAGGAGTTTAATGCATTGTCTTTTAACTATGTATCCAGTTTGAGCCCTTTTCCCAGGTTTTCCCCCACAACCTTGCAAATCCTTATGATGCCATATTTGTGGTATTCCTATCTATTGTCTCCTGGTTTCAAATTTCAAAATGTCTTTTTTATAGTTTTATACTTTAAGCCTTTCCTCTGTGCTTTTTTCTTCTCTAAAGTTCTCTGAATTCATGCTGAAAAGTTGAAAGAACAATAATCATTTTGGCTGTTGAGCCTTCTTCAGCTGAAGAGGCCCAACAGCTGAAACTGTTTCTTCTTTTCAATGTGGAATTAACCTTTACTTGTGATATAGAGTCAGTCACTCGTACTGCCCCCTGAGAGTCTGTGGAACAAATTGGCGTTGGGGGTGTTGTGCTTCTCAGTGCCTTTGTCCTTCAAAAAACAAGACAGTGAGCTGACTGATGTTTTCAGCTCATTTTCTTTCAAACATCAGCAAATGCAAGTTTAATAAAAGTAGGGAAAACTCTGGACTGTTACATCTGAAGAAGAAAGGAGCTTGTAGACAGAAGGAATTGACTTTGAATTGTATTGACTGAGAATTAGTTGAATTTAAATTTAACAAGAGGGCTGTCTTTGGTGGTCGGGGTGGACATTGTTTATAAGGGCAATTTTAAAACTTTGCTTAGTGTGGGAATAACTCACTCTCTCCTGATATTTTTAAAGATTTGCTTGTTCTCAGTGGTCTTCAATACCTAATTGAATTCTTTAATTTCAGAATTTGTGCATTTTTTGTATTTGTTGTTTCTGCTTCTGTACATTTTTCATTTAGTGTATTTATGTAAAAATATAATTATATAATCTAATTATGTATGTAAAGTACCTTAAGAATGCTCTGATTGAAGGGTGCTACATAAGAATAAAATTGAGTGATTGATTGGAAGAGAAGCTTAAGGGTGTCCTCGCAGAGAAGCTGGGGGTTTTTCCTCTCTGTCCCCTCCACACTCAGTCCCCCTGTGGTGCTTGTGAATCAGTTAGAAACAGAGACCCCTTGAGATGATAACTGGAGCAGATCGGGACACGCTGGCAGTCTTTTCCTCAGCATCTGACTACACTCCTCTCCTGGTGTGCTGCTGTGTTAATGCAAGAATGTACATTCACTGTCTGGTAATGCACAATGGAACTGATTGGGCTCAATTGAGCATTTCAATAACAAGAGAAATCTGAAAAATCTGAAACAGCTTTTTTTAGCTTTCTTGTCCTTAGAAATCAACCCGAAAAGATGCAGAGTAACGGGACACTTTGTCTCGCTCCCTTCTCTGTACAGTGTCTCCGGTGTCTGCAGGGCCCTGTCAGGGTTTATCTTTGTACTTTTATTCTAGAGAGTTTTTCCTGTAATTCACACAGCCCTCATGGAGACGCACAATGCTGAAAGCGCTTCATTATCCAAAGCAAATTGCAAAAAAGGGAGAGGAGGCTTGGAGACTTTGAAATAAAATCTGTTATTCTGCATTCTGTGGTTAGCCTATTTTTTAAAATTAGTATTAGTATATCTACTAATACTAATTTACTATTATCTTGTTTATCAGCAAGAAAAAAAGAAAATGTTTTTGTCCTGAAGGACCACATTTTTATTTTGGTCCCTGTAAAACTAGGGTGTAAAAATAACAAAACAAAAAGCAGGAACTGCATCAAATATCAAATCAGGTCCTGACTCCAGCTTGCTGTACAAGAAGATTTATAGAAGTTAATTACACATCCCCTGTTGTCGGGGAATAATGAGCATCGCATGACATGTGTTTTCTTTGTTTCTCTTGCACAGCATGGTAACAAAGTAATAACCAGGCGGCAACATTTAACAAGACAAATTTATTTACATTACAAAACCACACACTCGCATGATGTGTGTGTTTCATGGCTATGTGTACAGATGTTTACAGATCTGTCCTGCTTACAGACACAGAAACTCCCTGGGAACAGAAGCAAAAAATACCAAACAAGAGAAAAAAGTCCCGCCTGTGTTTTATTTATCAGATAAAAAGATGCTGCTGAAAACTGCTGTAAATCACTCTCTGCTGTAAGTGGATGCTAAACAAATGGGAACCTGTTTCCTTATTAAAAACGGTGCATCTGTAAACAATGAGGAATTTTAGCCTGAAAGAAAACTAGGAGATTAAGATTCTCAATAATTTAAAATAAGTTCCTTTAAAATCCAGTGTTTTCATTGCTAAGATTTTTAGGAGTCCTGTAAAGCCTACTGCACAGGAGTTGGGCTCCCCTCAATAGGACTATTTTAAATTAAGAACTGGCGTGTCAGTAGTGAATATATATTTTTAAACTGGGCCATATTCAGTGTTTTCCACCACATTGCATAGTGATGGAGCTGACCTGTGTTATGCTTCCAGCACCAGCCCTGCAGCAGGGCGAATGCAGTCTGTCAGTGCTGGCACAGGCAAATAACAGCTGGTGCTGCAGAAAGAAACTGTTTCTGATTGCAGCTCACGACAGGCATTTGAAGCCCAGAGATCAAGAGGGTGGAGATGTTGTTGCTGTATAGGTGTGTCGCATTCAAATGGCACCTTTTTCTTATGTGCTGTAAAACACCCTATCTCCTTCCCTAGTGGGCACCTGACACAGGTTCATTACTGTTGCGGCTGATTGAGTCACTGGCATCTTTTCTGGTCTCTGTGATGGTGTCGCCTAATGAGAAGCGTGCGGTCCTCGGAGACTGACACACACAGCGATCATACAATTCTTCCCAGGATCCCGCAGGTTTTAACGATCCTCATTCCAGCACTCGTGTAGTGCCTTCTCAGCAAATGTTAAATGTAAGGTGTCTATTTGAAGAAGTACCTTTGCAGGAGGTACTATTAAAAACTCTGAATCCCTGACTCTAAATAGCATCCCACATGCTCTGCCACAGGAATGCGATAAAGCAAATGATGTCTTCTGTCAAAGACCTGTCAATATTTTCTCCTTTTAATGGTGCTGTGAAAAATTGCTTTTATTACATATTTGTGGGATTAGTAGCCCATAGGTTCCTGGTGATCAGATTCAGTGTCCTGCTGTGGCTGAATCAGCTGTATTATGTGATTTGATTGCCTGAGGCGAAATAAGGAGGTGAATGTCTGTTTTTCCTCCAACAGTGTGGGGTGACAGTTTTAAGCTTTTAAAAGCCTCCTGCAACTACGAAGACACACTCAAGGTGTGCATGTGGGAGGAATGCATGTGGCCAGTTAAGCAGACAGAGAATCAACCGCGAGTAAATGTTGATAAGAAACCCATCGTATAACTGGATCATTGTTTTAGCTCTAAAAGCTTGTTGTTGGATTTCAAATCCAAAAGAGGTGATGTAAACGCTTTAAACACCTTCGCTGTGTTTCAGAGCAGCTAAGCTCCAGCCATGAGACTCCCTTGGCAGAATCGGACTCTTTGTACTCACACATGGAAGCTGAAGTAAACCCATAAGCAGCACTGTGTGGGAGATTAAGTGTCTGTGCCGGTTTTCAGTGAATGCAGTCTCACTGCTGTCTTCTCTTGCTACCTGATTATAAATGGGGAATCGGAGCTGGCCCCCACAGTTACTTTGAGTCTCAAAATGATCATTTTCTTTTTTCCTTTTATGAAAGCACTCATCAACCTGCTGAAATTTCTCCTCTCGAACGAGACCACCTTGCTGACAAAACACAACATCTTCCAATTGGCCCTGCTGGTAAGAAAGTCATTCGTTTCTGTGGCAAAAAAAAACTCATCTGGATGCAAGTAGAGATGATGAACTTTGCAATGACATGTTAACTTAAGCACAGTCCCGAATACATCATAGAATTGAGGTTTCCGTCCCTGTGGCATAAATGCCAGACGTCTGTGTGAGCGTCTGTGTAAGGCCCTCTATGATGCATAAGGCCAAGCAAACAGATGTCATCATTTTTGTGTGTCCCTTTCTGTGATATACAGTATGTCATGTCCAGTTTGCTTGATGAGGTGAGACTGTTCAGAATCTTTATTCCAAATATATAGTAAAAAGATCTTTGGCAGTGATGAGAACATACAGTCATGCTTGAAAGTTTCTGAACCCATTGCATAATTTGACATTTTTTGCTTTTTTAACCACTAAATGCATCTTTAATCAGAATTTGTCACTTCCTAATTGATATAAAGTATACTTTTTCACCATTTTGAGTGCTTTGAAAGACAATGTCCATGCAGAAAAATAATACACACTGTATACAGAAATTGTGCAGGTGCAAAAATAAGTTCTATGACTTACCTCAAGGTAAAGCAGGATCAGGTGTGTCAATGACAGAGTGTTAACCAATTAACCGAGATAACCAATGAAATTGGTTCTGTGTCCTGGAATGGCCAAGCCAAAGCCCTGACCTGAATCCTATTGAAATGCCTAGGCAGGACCTGAAGAGGGCTGTTCGTGCAAGACATGCTTCAAACCTCACAGAGCTGGGGGAGTTTTGTAAAGAGGAATGGGAAAAACTCCCTCCAGCAAGATGTCAGAAACTGAAAATTGGTTATAGGAGGCGACTGTGAAGTTATTGCTGCTAAAGGAGGTGCCACAAGTTATTGACTGAAAAGGGTTCATTTACTTTTGAAAGAATACAAGAATATCTGGTGATTTGTTAAATATCACAGACTAATAATCTATGAGTTCAAATCCCTTTTTATATGTGGGAAGTCTTTATTTAGGATATTCATTCTATGTATTCGTTAAGAGTCCAGGTTCATATAAGATCTCTATAATATCTAAAATAATGACTACCTTGAAGGGTTCACAAACTTTCAAGCATGACTGTATGTTCCAAAGGGGAGAGGCTGGTTGTATAGTGCATTTGATTGCTTTTAGCCAATTGCTTTAGGGGTCCCATCCAAGCAGTCCTTGAAAGAAGCCAGAGTATTGGCTTTAACAGCATGGCTGCGCAGCTTGTTCCAGACTCCCACACCCCTTAGTGTATAGAAGTGTCTCTTGAGAGAAATAATAGAAGTTCTTCAGGTGGGTAGCTGCGTCAGCATGCGTAGGCTGCAAAGGAACAAGTAATAGGTTTATTCCATGCTGAAAAGAGAAGAAAAAAAACACAATGTTTCGGCTGTGGAGCCTTCTTTGGGTGACACAAGAAATGTTGTGTTTTCTTTCTTCTCTTTTCAGCATGGAATAAACCTATAGAAGTGCTTATGAAAATACAAGTTTCATTCTTCAACAGCAGAAGCAGATGTTGTTCAATTTGTTCACTCAGAAGACTGAATAAAAGTTTTTATTGATGTGTAATTTTGTTGTTTTTCTGTGGTCCGCAGGTAGTAAACTTATTCAACATGTTTATAACCTATGGGGATACCTTTCTTCCAACACCCAGCAGCTATGATGAGCTTTACTATGAAATTGTGAGGATGCACCAGGTGTTTGACAATCTCTACTGCATGGGTAAGTTAAGAGTTCCTATCCTCCCCATCTGTCTCCATGCCCAGTGTCACATGTCTGGGTAGCTACCATAACAGACTCGTTTATTTATTGCATTCAAAGCTCTCTTAGGGCCTGGGACGTCTTAGCACAGCATGTGGGAATTGTGTGTACATCTAAGATGGTGGGATTGTGAAAATATTTACTGAGTCCTTAACATACCTGTAGGACTTTTCTGTGTGATCAAGAAATGAGCCTCCCCTGAACACATAGCCTTTGTTAGAACAGGCAATCCCAGTGGGCACCTGCAAGAACAGAGATGCCAGAATGCGTGATGAGCTTACAGGAATCGGGGCCTTTACTTTGTGAAATTCTTACCGAGTGCTGTCTCTAGTTGACTGGTGTGCTGGTTTCTGCTCTGCTTTTATGTTTGGTCTTGTATCCCATACAAGGTATATTAATGCATCTTTATCCCTCATTTATTGCTGAGATGATGAGGTTTTGGTTTTGGTGGCTGTTGCTCATGAAGCAGCTTTCAAGCTTTCAAGGTGAGGTTCTTACAGTATGTTCTGGGTTACAGATGAAGTGTCTCCACTGTGAATCTTAACCCACGACCCCTAGGTCAAGAGTCCACTCTCTATGATGCTCCTGTAATAAAGGGGACCAGACCGCTGGGCTATCCTGTTCAATAGATGACTGTTTATTGTTACATAATACAAGAATATCAAGCATCGCAATCATCTGTTTTCCTGGTTATTCCACAATTAAAGTTTCAAATGACAGTTTCTGTAATTTTTTCACATTACAGATGCTCTTTGGTAGCATCAGATTGTTTTTGGGAATAGCCCTGAGTGTTCAGAGCTCACTCCTGTTACGGCATGTAACCGTGCCTGTTGAATTCGGAGAGCACCAGAGATGCTTGAATCAAGGAAGATCATTAAATGTCCCAGATGTGCTGTAACACAGTTAAATGTGTTCATTAAAAAAGTGTATGTGCAATATTTATTAATACAGTTTAAATCCACAACGTTTTGAATGTTGTTTAATTTCTCTGTCAATGTGTGTGCTCACTGCTACTCTTTTAATTATAAGAAAGAAAAAAATATTCTGGCTAACTCAATTTAGCAGAAAATTCATAGTTACTGAATTATCATTCTCTCTTTTTTACTGTACTGTTCCCACATCAGGAGTTCGTGTACAGTTATATTGGTAAGGGTGTTTGGGTACATATATTATACTCCAGCAAAATGTATATTTAGCAGTTGATGTCTTGTTGCTGGGTAAGTCTTGTTTCACAGTGGCCTTTTTCGCACTGGAACAACAGGCAGTTTCTTCAACAGAATATACCATCTGCTGCTGAAACATGCTGAAAAATGAAGGCTGCACATGGGGTTAATTACCCAGCCGGTTGAAAAGAGTGTAATCTGATTAATTTGAAGGTTGCATTTGGCTCTGAACACAGTGATCTGGGCTTCTAACCATATCTTCATTGCCCTTAATATTTGATTTCTGTCTGTTGTTTTAGTTTGCTTGTTTTTTTTTTTGTTTTCTTTTGCATGTTGCAAATCAGTGAATTAATGTATTATTTTAATCACTTTAATTAAAAAAAATCAAGAACTTGGGGGTATTCTTTGCATATAATTAAATTAGAATTAGAATTCCAGTTGGAGTTCTTTCTGCTGTGTTACTGTCTTGTAGCCCACAAGGGCTTGGTTTTGGGGCTGGTTCTGCCCAGTCCCACCCAGCAGATTTAGTGAATGTACATTACTGAGGGGTGTCTGCCTTTGATGTTTCTGATGGGGGAGACCGAAAGCAATTTGTATTTGTTTAGATATGAAACAGCCTCATCAGATTTCGATCTCGTTTTTAATTAAAAACAGGAGCTGCTCCTCCCTTGCTCTTACACGAGGAGCTGAGCAAAGTGGGTTATTGCCATGTCTGGGAAGATTAGGATAAATTGCCTCAGCTCAGCATTATGCGTAGAAATAAATAATTAAACTGAATCCCATGGGAAAAGATTGCGCCGAGCAGGATCAGAGCAATCAGGGTGTGAGGGCACCCCAGTGTAGCGGGGGTCTGGAAATATGCCTTTCCTGTTGGGGTGATACAAGGTGGTGTGCCTCACGTGGCACTGGGCTGGAGTCTGGTGCCCTCAGTGCGCCTTGCCAACACGATGCCAGCCCTCGCCACCTTTAACGCAGCTCACTTCTCTGAAAGCATCCGCCTTCAGTGTTGTGGAAGCAATGACGATGATGAGCAGTCTTTTAACTTGGCTTTTTAGAAAATATTTTAGAAGTTTTGAAAGCCTAAGTCAGCATTTAGATTGAGTTTAGATTGAGTGGCATTTTTACCTGTAGAGTAGTTTGAGCTCCTCTCTTGGGGAGGGGGATCATTCCTGCGCTGTGGGACTGTCAGATCTCTCAACTGTTTCCAAGTGGTCCAGAAAAAAAGAAAGATCTGCATCAGGGGTCCTTAGGATGCCGGTTTATAATGGTAATTTCTTCTATTTCAGTGCTCCGAGTTTCAGCCAATACTGGTCAGTGGAAGGAGCCCGCGAGCAAAGTTACTCATGCCTTGGTCAATGTCAGGTAAGGTGGTGGGAGAAAACCCAAGAAAAGACCGATTTGGTCTGTCCATTTCCATGTGTATTTTGTGATGTATGTGTAATTTGGTAGATTCCATGCAAATACATTTGCATTGGTATGTCATTGGTCATTTAAAATTCCATGGCACTGTTTAAAAGAGAGCAGTTTAAAGTAAATGTCACCCTGTCTTTCCTAATGTTCCCCCTTATTTCAACTGGTTAATCAGTTTTTCTCTCCTCTGTCTGATCCACTGGATTATTATTATTACATTTATTTAATAATAAATTGCTTTTTAGGATGAAAAGTACTATAGAAATGCAAGCAGTAATTATATGTATATTTCCATGAGCGAGTGGTTCAGGTGGGTAGCTGTGTCAGCAAGCGTAGGCTGCAAAGGAACAAGTCATAGTTTATTCCATGCTGAAAAGAGAAGAGAGAAAACACAACGTTTCGGCTGTGAATCCTTCTCAAAAGCACTCCAGCCCTTTTTACCCACTGCTCTTTGGGCAGAGGAATTGATATTGAAAAAATACTCAAAAATCCTAAGAGCTTCTGCTAGCTTTATGCCCTTTGTGCTGTTAGACATGAATAATACTTAAAATGAATAAATGTCACATCTGGATATGGTACAAATGTCATCAATGAATTGTACATGATTTACGTTACATTCATTAATGTTCTCTGTCTTTCCATACAAATACGGTGGCTCAAGCATGTGTATACATAAGGAGACCTCCGCTTTATTAAAACGAGAATAATGCTCTGATGCATCCAAGTCAGTTTTCTAATTAGTGGTACAGAAGCTTGTGCAAAAGAGTGATTTCTGCACCATTAGTGAAGAAATGTTGTTCTAAAATCTGAGAAATCCAGGGCCTTTTACGGTTCCAACTGTACAATGTGTGTGTAAGCATCACAAAAAAAGCTTATGACTTACAAATGCGATAAAATACACAGAGTAATTCAGGGTGAACAGGGGATCAGTGGGGAATCTGCTATGAAAGTCACAGGCTAGTCGAGTGCAAGTCCACTGTTGGAAGTAACACAAGCTGTTTACGAATGCTAACTTGTGGGATGTTGTCCACTTGTTGTCATAGAGCCTGCTCAAGCATGGACCTGACACCACATGTCATCCCAGCTAATCCTACAAATGTTCAAGTCTGAGAAGTAGGGCATCAGCAGCTTAACTGTGACATTCCCTTGTTGTAAGCAAGCTGTGGATGGTATACCATCCGCTTGAACATTGCCATGTCTGAGTCCACATCAAGGGCAACAAGTGAGATCCCAGCCAAGTCGTAAGTTTCCCATCAGTCACAGCTGGTGGAGCTTTGTAATGACTAGGTAATCCTCCATAAGACCTTGGTCCTCCCCCTTGTCTGGTCTTCTGCACAAAACAGTTAGCATATCGTTCTGCACGGCTGCACAACACTCACTGATTTCCATCTTGGTGGTCTACACACAAGAGGGCTTGACCCCACTGCTCACCACCTCCTTCTGTTGTGTTGCCAATCCTTCGTGTGGCTCTCTGGCCTACAAAGCTGGACCATGTGCGGGTTGTTGCGACCTGGCGTGTCTGATACAGTGGACACGGCAGACAGATCCCGAAGATGGAATGATCTGATATGACAGTCCTGGTGGCGTGTTGTGACTCCCATAGCTATCATTGCCAGACTGTGTTTGATGTAGCATCTTGCTAGGTCAGAAACTGCTGCCCTTGAACACTCCCAGACAGTGTGCTAATTTAGAACAGTCTACCGATGGCACAAAAACATTTGTTCTCTTGATACATGGGGATTATTGTTTTCTGCGTTTCTCTTTTATTTTTTTCACCTGGTTTGTCAATCGGCATGTTAAATCGCCACACCACCTGTGCCCAATTGTCTTTCACTAATGAGATGATTTAGTGATTATGCAACAGTCACTGGAGCGTATCATTATCATGAATGATCTGTTAATCAAAAAGATACCAAAACATTTAATCAATATCTAAAGTCTGTATACATTAATTTCCTAATACATACCTAGTGATATGTTTCTTTAGGTGCTATATATGTATAATTACATATATAATTGTATATATCAATTGCTCAGTCTTGGATGTGGGCTGCCGATCCGGTCGTACAGACCACAGACTTGTGATTGATTTTAGTTTCTTCAGAATAAAGCAGCACTGGGAAAGTGGAAGAGCACAGGCTGGAATAATGAAATGCATCTGCGGCTAGCGAGCGTCCCCAGCATCTTGAAATCGAAAAGGTCACCCTTAACCGTGCTGCCAGGGGACTGCGAATTCCAGATGAAGGGTACAGACGTTGGTGTGCCGTCTCGCAGGAGTACTGCATGATCAAAAACACTGAGTAAATTGCCTGTCCCTCAGGAGAGAACATAACCACTCATCATCCTTTTAGTCTATAGAAGCTTCATTATGTGTGGGAACTGGGAGCAATCCTTTAAACATGGTTCATGCATTATAAATGTCTTTGGAAAAACACTTCGAACATACAACTTCCATTTTATGATGTTATGTTGTTTCAAAGTGTGTAGTGCAATTAGTGTTGTGTGGCACAAGGTGTTTTTTTTTTTTTTGCATCTTGCTTTTCCTTCAGCAAAAGCGTTTAAGTTTGAGCTGCCTTTGTGCTAAAGCAGTACTTGTCTGTAGCAGGGCATACAGTGTGTATATCATCCAAAGCCAAGAGAACGTGAGCCTAGCGTGCTAGAAAACTGTGATGCATGCGCCACCGAGAGAGCTAAACAGCCTGTCTTGATTTAAGTAGTATTTCCTGTTTCTGTACTTAAAGTACTTAAACTTTATTCTTAAATTGTTTCAAAGCACTGTTTTTGTTTTTACTGTAAATGTGAGAATCTCAGTGAGATTTTTTTTTTATGGTACCTGCCAGTATTTTTTTTTATTATACTCACTCAAGTTTGGTATTTGCAGTTGTGCCTTTGTTGTGTCTCCTTGAAATAGCAACAGATTTGCTTCTTACGAGTTGGAAAAATGTCCTTATTATAGCAAAGAAAGGAACACAGGTCTCAGAGTACAAAACCCAATGTTCAACTTAAAACCAGAAACCCAAATCCTTTATAGCACATTTATGCACACATCATCACTTTTACATCTTAGTAACTCAAACACTTTTACTCTATAACCCTTCAGTGCATCGATCAAACACATGTACTACAGCATCTCACTGTGACGCTCCCGTTCTCTCACAAAGGCCTAGCAGCTCCTCTGAGCTGCTTGCTGATCGAGTGATCTTTTGACATGCTACAAGCTCTGCAGTGCCTTACAGGAGGAGGATAGGTGTGCACTGCAGGTGTCGCTGTGTTTCTGGGAGACAGCCGAGAACCCTGGCCTGTCCCAGTCTTACCCCTCACTGTGCTGAGCCAGTGGTGCGCCACCACTTGGGCAATCTAGACTACTGCTGGCTAGTGACATGACCCAGACTTAAACTCAAGATATGTGGATCATGGAGCCTGTGCTCAGAGTGGGTCAAGCACATCTTATAATTAAGCCCTTCTATAAACCAAAGGGAATAGGGTAGTAGTGAGAAGGTTAGTGATCCCCCTTTGTAAAGCCAGTCTTGATTTCAATTTATTTTGAAATAATAAATAATTTAATTTATTTTGCCTCATTAAACAGTTTGCTTGATGTTGTTCTATTTAATCTTGGAGGTTCCTCCACATGTCCACACCAGGTGCTGCATGCTTCACGTTTATTCCCTTAAGTCAGTTTTGCTCATGATTTCTAAAGCTAAAGCAATAGAACACACAGTAGATGAACAGTTCTTGTTTTGGATTGCTGAGAATGGCTAGGTCTCATGGGACTCATTGCCTCATTTTCCATTGGTACCTTTTTCGTGAATATAAGAGCTTTGTACAACGAGATGCAGTCTATAACAATTTCATTATATAGTCTGAGAAATAGCTGCATTTATCTTATTGTTTCTTTTTTTCTCTTTTTGCTACTGTGCACACGCACTGCTCTGCAGTTGCTCCTGAATGGAGTACAAATAGTCCCTTAACAGCCAGACTTTAATCAGAGCTGCTGCTGGATGTCCACGATACTTCTTCTTGTTTCACAGAAATTTATCAAGACACGGAAACAGTGTGTGGGACTGGCTGCCTGCGCTCTGAAACGTACATCCAGCATGCCTTTCCTCAGCATAATTGCTGTAATTAATCGGCACATTATGTTTCTGCTGGATCAAAAGAAATTGAAGAATTAGCGTGTTTAATTTATCTTGTTTGAGGAATTACTACCTCGCTGAATGGTTATCAAATCCATTTGACCTTAAAAGTGCATGCAGGCAAGCTTGAAGGCGGGATGGCTGTAAGTATGAGAGAATTGACAGGGGATGAAGCCCCCAGTCTACAATGTGTCGGGACAGTGACAGGCCACTCTTCTGTGTTAGTAATCCACGGTCGTGCAGAGTCTGTTCTAAGCCATAGGTCCTAATTGCATAAAGAAGTCTTTCCACAACTCGGCCACTGGCCTTGGTATGTTAACATATGTAAGCCTTAAACTGAAAAAATGCTTAATTGGAGAGGTGAGGGGCAGCTTTATACAAGTGGCCACTCATTCGCTATGGATATCTGCACATGTCCCACCTACTATAGACCTAAAACTGTTAAAGTGCAAATTTTCAAACAAATGTTGAATGTGCCCCGCCCTCAATATCTGAGTCGTAGTGCAGCAGAAAACAGAGGTACAAGGGACTCTGTGTTTTGGTCAAAATGTTGGACATCAGCTGGCATTTGTAATGTAAGCAGAAACATTGATCTCTCCACCCCCACACACACACACCACATCTCAAGTCCATGGACAGATGTCCTCATAGAAAAATAAGACAAGCAGCAAGTTTAGTGAGTACATTTTGTAAGGGTGGACATAGTTACACTATGATTTATTGTAGTGGTAGGTAGTAGGTGGGACTCAGATGTGTTAATATTTTGGAAGCAAATTAAAGTTAGATTTGCATTGCACAGATATGCATTGTTCTCAATCG